TGTATGTTTACAACGTGCTTCAACTGCTTTCTTAAGTCAATTGTCAACATCTCGTTCTGGATGTCAAGCAATTGAAAATGAAGGAGCTTGTCCTCGATTCACTGAACTTATTCAATCGAATAATGAATATATTGGTAAGTATAATGTCTGCTGAGTACAATTTTATTCTCATTAATATGTTATTTTATAAATTCACCATCAATTGGCAAGGATAATTTTACATTGGTTATCAGGTGAACCAGACACTGCCCACGCAATAACACTACAATATGAACAGTTCGGCTTAATCCCGTGGCGCAACCACCACACAGGTACCTGATATCCTGGTGGACTATTCACACCATTTATATACACTAGTACATATATAGTGATTATTTCCGATCCATGATCGCATCGCATAAATCAATATGCGCAGCATGAACAGACCAATTTGATCCATCCAACTTACATGACTATCAAACTTACTAATACTAGCAATAGCGATATGCATCAAAACGTCCCAATAACAATAGCCTTTAGGAATGTTGCGTAACAACAGCCAGTAGTATCAATGAAGTTGGCCACCCTACCAGACAAGTTTGTAAATGAACTATATTAGCAAAACTTGCCAAAGTAATGTCAAACCATCCCCGAAATGTTCATCATAACGCACCTCTGGTCTTCTCATAGGAAACATTCAGCTCTATATAGAAGCAATGTAACTTATATCCCTTTCATTCATATGTAGTTTCAGTCTTTATTGTGGTGGTGTTTGGATAGATAGAAGTTTGTGCTGATGATGTAGTTCAGAAGACCAATGAAAGCTCAACAACCAAAACACCCAGGTCGGAGAACCAAACACCACCACCACCACAATAATCCACATGAGCTACAAATCTTCTCCACTATCTCAGTCTTTATTGTCACTGTAGTCGGCCAGTTCAGTGGACAACATATAAGTAGTTTGTATAGAACGTGACTGAGTTCAGCTCTTTCTAGTTGATGAATTTAAACTAGAGGAGGACCAAAATGTATGAACTTTTGTTAGTGGGACATAGATGGAATTAAAGCATGACTACGTTGCTACGCGCTGATTGGCTAATTTCCTATCCAATCAGCGCCTGATCGATTCTTGGAGAACAGGGTAGAAAATCCTCGTGTTGTTAGCTGCATGCTGATTGGCTAAATCTAATCCAGCCGATCACGTGAATTTCTATCCAGAAGGTTCTCATGAAAATACTATGAAGAAACTAACGCTGTATCTATTTTTGCCTTCGGCTTCTTATTTCCATTTAACCTTGCTATTTGGAATATTATCTTTTCCTGTTCGGCCGTGTTTTTGGATTCTTTGGAACTTGTCCATTATATTGTGGCCAGAGAATACTAAGCAACAGAATTTAGCTGGATATTATCTAAGCAAGCGTTACAACTTTTTAATTCAATGGTTGACCGTTATTCAGCTTTAGTTCATTTCATAAAAATTTAATGATATTTCAGCTTTCTATTTGTGTATTTTGTTAAAATTTTAGCTGCCTATACTGCAGCAATCTTACATCGTATTGCTCAAGATAAACCAGAAACATATCGACGTCGATTATCGTTGGAATTGCGTCAATCACTTTTTGACGGTGGTCTCCTACTAAACGATACAATACCACCACCAACTAATGAATTCGATCCATATACAACAAGTCCATCGAAATTATCAAATGATCAGTCACCATATATGATTACGGATAGACGATCAAGAAATCTATCTGGTTCAAATTTAAGATAACAAACAAACAAACAAACGAATAAAAAAAATTTATCACATAACTTCTTTTAGAATGATTTGCTTTTCAATTGAAAAAATATGTCTCAATTATTATTATTATTATCATTATCATCATCAAACTACTGTAGAATTAAATCATATCGCTATTTTACTCTTTATAGTAGGAAATGGGTGTTAGATAAGAATTGCAGGTAGTAGTGAATGAAATATTGAATATTGATCAATTGAGGTGGTTGGGATATGTGTTACGAAATGCTTAAACACCGACTGCCTTGACGAGCGATGTTTTGTGATGTAGGAGGAGTAGGCTGGAAGAAAGCTAGGGGCGGCCTGATCGAAACATGACACAAATACATGAAATCACTAACAAGTGGTTTGAGTCGTGTTGGTAGATGTAGACTAACTGCTTAGTTCGGGTCCGTGAGACGGTGGTAACCGATGGTCAAGACTATGAACGACATGGCTCAAAATCGTTTGCCATGGCGCAGGTGCATCCATTCTTTGTCTAGTCACGAATTCTATAATTCTGAATTCCTCACGCTCTTTTTAATTTTATTTCACTGAATTATACTTCTTGAATAATATCTTCAAACCCTAATCTCTCCGATTACTTCTAATACCTTTACTACCTCTACTACTGTTGCATTTAAATTGACATTTACATCTCTGTGCTAATGTGGTATGGCAACATGAACTGATGTACTTACGTACGAAGTTCTACGTTGCATCTGACTGACTGAATCAAGTAATATGTATTTGGCGAATGAAACACACAATATTTCCATTAAAAGGTTGTGGAGATTGTTGAGTTGCAATGGTCTAAAGATTGTGAGCTCGCATGGGAGACAGAAGACCTTGGGTCCGAATACCTCATGCGGAGGTCGTGGATGAACACTGCCACTGATGAGTTCCGTACTTGGACGAAACGGTGCAGTAATGAAGATTATTTCTTGTTTTCGTCATAATTTCAACTCAACTATTACTTCGTATCACACAAAGATCAATGTTAAGTCCTTTAACGCTCATCCGTACTCTTACCCCCAGTTTAGCTGTGTTGACTTATACTAATCAAGGTTTTTCAACTTATCTGACTGAATCGTACGTACCCACCAACTCGATTCAAACACCGGAACATACCTTTCTCGTCCTATCAATCTCGTAAACAACGTGCCCACCACGAGGATGCACTGTGTAGAACTTCTGTGGTAGTGGCTATAAACGCGTAGCCATATGACAGCATTTAGAGAGCGGGCGGACCCTTTTACACTTCTCGGTCGCATCCCGGGCAGACAGCATCTTGAGATGTTAGGTACTCGACATAAAACCCTAACATGATCTAGGTACCGTCTTCGTTGGCACTCATGAGTAATCCTGGTGAAATCGATGGGATTCAAACTTGCACCAACAAGCCTCATAAAATATGAGACGTTACCACTACTGATCTATTTCGGCTGTGATTAGCATCCTAATAGAGCTGATATGTGTTGTACAATTGACCGATCAGTGAAAAAGAATTTCAAGGACAAATGTATATATATATATATATATATATATATATATATATATATATATATCAATATATATTTACATCTATTTTATGACAGACAAATTTATTTACATAGAAAATGATCATATATTTTTTTAATGTTTTCGCATCATAAGTTGATGTAACAATTGATCAGGTGGTGGCGCTGTATAGATAGGATATTCACTGATTTGTTTTAATGTATTTTCCAATTGAATGTCAGAATTCAATTTACGTTTGTTTACTCGAACAGGATTATCAAATTTCACTGGAGATGCTGTATCAACTAACTGTAGTAAACCTTGTTGTTTTGATTGGACATTGAACCGTGTAGTGGTCTCCGTCTATAAAACAAAAACCCGTGGGAAGAGAGTGAGAGAGAGAGTAAATAGGTTGAATGACGAACAATGTTCAAATGCAGGAAGAAATAGTGTACACTATCAATAGGGATACTACCCCTAACTCAGGTCTCATACGATCGAGAGAAAAAATTTCGTTAATGCGAAAAAATCATTATCCGACATGAGACAAAGGGTCATAAGAGTGATTCAGTCCATTTGCGTGAGGCTGGGCTGCATCTCTTACTAATATATATGTATATACCATAAGCTAGATTACTACATAAAGCTGAAGGTTTCCTATGACAAGACCAGAGGTTCGTTGTGAACATTGTGGATCGTTTGGCATTACTTTGGGCAAGTTTTGCTAATAGTCCATATAGAAATTCGGTTAGTAGAGTGACCGTTTACATCGATACTGGTGATTGTTTCGCAACATTCCCAACAGCCGTTGTCATTATGTAGCTGTAATGCACATTCATCACCATTGCTAATAATGATGAGTTTGACAGGATGGATGGATCAAATTAGCCAGTTTATGCTGTGCGTATTTACTGACGCGATCATGGATCAGAAACAATCACTATATATGTATTAGTGTACCTGAATGGAGTGAATGGCCCAGCTGGGTGTCCGGGACCTATGTGGTTGCCCCACAGTATTGAGCTGTACTCTTTCGGCTGACATGTGGACTGAGTCATGTTGGTAGATGTAGGCTACCTGGTTGGGGTCGGCGAACTGATGTACGTACGTACGTACGAAGTTCTACGTTGCAACTGACTGACTGTCGGTCGTAGTGTGAACACCTGGAAAGTGTCTAGTTCTCATGATAACCAATGTAATTACTCTTGCCAATAGAGGGTTAATTTATATAATTTATGTATGCTGTGGATTACTTAGTTTACATCAAGAATAATTTCTGTAAAATTATAAGGGGATTCGAACAAAAAAAATTAATTAAGTATAGCTCGTAACTTCTTTAATGATTGAGGTATGAAAAGGATTTTCAAGTCTGCTAGAGATCAGACTAAGAAATTAACACCGTTGGATGTCGAGTCACACTGGTCTAGAGGTGATGTGTTTTCGTGCAAGACCGAAGCTGCTTGGTTCGAATCCTGTGAGTAGCGGAAGTCATGAATGCGCGCACTGCTACTGATGATGAGTCTCCAATCAGGACGAAACAATCGTTCATTGCCTATAGGTTACTAACAGTAGTCCAACACTCATGATCTCCATGTAAAAGAACAAACTCCATAATACTATAATTATCTAAAGTTTATGCTGTTGATTAATGTTGTTTAGAAGTAAACAATGAAAGCTCCACAACCAAAACATTCAGCTCACAGAACGTAACCCCATCACAATTGAAGTATTGTGTCACAATAACGAATGCTTTCAACAGCAACAACAACAAAAGATAACACTTACTGAGTTCTTCTGCATTTTTGTACGTGTTCCATAATACACCAAATCATATCGTCCTGTTTCTCTGCCAACTAATGTTTTCATTAATCCTGCCAACTGAATATGATTGTGATACTGTTTATCAGTATTATCATTATGATCAGAACAAGATTTAGCATCATTCGACGAAATAAAACACAATGATACAAATAATGTTCCATTTGGATTCCGCATTTTATGTTTTTTCTTTTCTCCACCATAATGTTTTCGATCACATAATGGTTGAGCAATAAGATTTGGCAATGAATGTATACTGTTCAATTGTATATTTGCTTTGAATTGAACTTCGAAAATAGTGACTAGCACAAAGAAAGAAAAGAAAGCGAGTTGATTAAAAGTTATGTTTAACATACAATGACATATTAATGCATCAGACAGACAGATACAACGCAGAACTTCGTACGTACACGTACATCAGTTCATGTTGCCGTACCACATTAGCACAGAGACGCAATTGTCAATTCACATCCGACAGTGGTAGCGATAGTAGGAGTATTAGTGTTACGCCTGCACGTCAACTTGATATACTTGAACTATTACGAATTTACCTTAGTCGGAATACGACAACGAGGATCCGGCGACACGAAATGCAACTCAAATCCGAGATCCCAACCCCCATATTGAGTGAAAATAAGACTTGATATGAAGTAGAACATGTATTCTACAAGCATCAAGAAAGTACGAGGTCCGAGTCCAGAAGAGAATCACGATCCCGGACTAGGAATCCGGGACCGGGTCCTGATCCTGCTCCTGGTCATAAAATGTTACAGATAATGCGTGTTGATACATTTTGGTCGAATAGGAAACAGCATCGAAGTCTGAGACATTGGCAGTTAAGAAGACCAATAAGCAGCGATATTTGAATTGACATTGATAGTCAGGACAACCAATAATTGACCAGTAGGAATTACCCAATAGGAATCGACCAATAACTCTCTTAGGATATTGGATGAATATCCTAACACTTAGTAGCAATGGCGAAGATAAGGGTTTGAAGATATGATTCGAGAAGTATAATTCAGTGAGATAAAGTTAGAAAGAGAAAGACAGGTGATGAGGAATTCGAAAGACTAGAATTTCATAGAACACAAAGATTGGATGCACCTGCACCATTGCAAACGATTCTGAGCCATCTCATTCAAGGTCTCTAACTATTGGTGACTTTCGTCTCGCGGACCCCAACCACGTAGCCTACATCTACCAACATGACTCAATCCAGTGGTCAGTGACTTCATGGATTTCTGCCATGTTTTGGTTTAGCCGCTCCTAGCTTTCGTCTAACCTACTCCTACACCACAAAACATAGCTCGTCGAGGCAGTCAGTGGTTAGGCATACGTAACACATGTCTCAACCGCCTCAACTGATGAATGCATCAGAGTAACGGATATACAATTACCGATATCATAACTTTTACGGGTTTGAGTTGGTATTGCTGTTCGTATCCAGGATTAGATATTGATCAATTTTTTTTGTTTAAAAACAGGTGGATATCCTGAGTGAAATGTCTGAATCACGGGCTTTAACTTGTGTATCAGAGATAACAACTTGATTGTAAAACATCAATCCATTGATTGGTTGAATTATATATATATATATATATATATGGTAGTAAAGATTGGCGTAACGCTCGTTATTCACTTGATCGCTTAACATCAGTTCTTAATGATGACCTTTGATACAAAGCATGGAGCTTTCATCCAACTCATCAATGTCTCTGACGAGAAACCGTTACATATAAGGCTATTCAAAAATGTTGTTAACGTAGCGGTAATTTTGAGATTAACGACCAGTCTCTTTGAGTGACGTGCTTCAGATGCACTCACTCTTTATTTCATTGAAGATTTTGAGTTCCAGTATTCTTTAATAAACATATCCTTCGGCCCCAAGTTTGTGAATTATGTAGTCAGTTAGCAACAACATGGTTCAGTTCAAGTTGCCATATCACATTCGCACAGAGATGCAATTATCGATTCAAATCCCATAGTGGTAGAGGCAGTAGAAGTATGAGCAGTAATTGGAAAGATTAGGGTTCGATGATATTGTGTTCAAGGAGTCCTAAAGAACGATTGCTTGAGATCGGTCAAAAAAAGCCGTCTATCATTCAGATTTTAGATCGGGGGCATCAGAAGTTTGCAGGAATAAGTGAAGCGTAATAATTTGTCAGGATCGATCTATTCTAAACCTCTACTTTTGTTATGGTAACCCAGTAACACAATAGATGTTGTTAGTCTGAGATAAACATTTTATTGGCATTACATTCTTGTACAGTCGCGGTGGTACGATTGCCCTCAGTCGACAAGTTTATTGCAGTATAACCTACAAGAACAAACGTCCAAACCAATATACGCATAAACTGAGTCAATATGATAGGCTAGTCGGGGATTATCACATAGTGTTAAACGCATTTTTATCAACCGTATGGTAATCAATCATGCTAAATGGAACCTTTCTTTCTAGATTATGAACTAGTCATTCTAGAAAGTGTTTCATTTCACAGCAAAAAAAGAATCATGGAATTCATATCATCAACTAACCTGTTCCATTTCCTAGACCTACAGCTAGATAAGGTTTACTGGGATGTGACGTTATACAGGTCGCCAATACATCTGGAACAATCGATATTATTTCAACACTGGACGGTGTACATTTCACCAGACACAAAGCACCATGTGAAATACGCTCACTTATTGATGTTGGACAATAACCGCGAATGGTGACAGCGAGGTAACGTGAAATATCATGATCAACATCGCTTGTAGGCGAGAAGACAATAACACATTTGTCAAGCATAATCTTCTTTGCATCTGGCCATAGTTTTAACAGATTCTTTTTGAAACAAACACTGGCAGCAATTTTTGGATTACCTGTAAAACAAAAATATTATTTTAGTTTTTTGTTGGAACAATGACCAATACAAATTGAATAGACAAATATGAGGAATAATTAAAACAATGTAAGATCAATGCTCAGTTAGTCGTCAGTCAACTAGAAAACAGAACTTTTCACGCAAGTATATCAGTTCAAGTTGCCATACCACAATAGCACAGAGAGATGGAATTGTCAATTCAAATTCTAGAGTAGTAGATGTAGTAGAAGTATGGGCAGTGGTCGGGAAGATTACAGTTCGAAGATGATATTCAAGGAGTACAATGATCCAACTCCAACTCTTCTTCCTGATTTTTTTAGTCTGCGGGAATCTGGTTTGTTCTCTCCTACAGTAGGTTGTTTCTGATGGTGTCTGATCAACGGACACGAAGAATTTTGTGTCGATAACTGTTAATAAACACTTGTATCTTGTGAATGATGGCTTTGGTAGCTTTCCAAGTGTCCGCTTTATACAGTAGAACTGTCTCGACATTTGTATCAAAAATTCTGAAAATGGTGTTGGGTGACAATTGTTGTGAGTTGCAGATGCTGTTCGACTGTAGAAATGCTGCTCTTGCTTTACCAATCCGCGCCTTCACAGCTGCATCCGATCCGCCTTGCTTACCAATGATGCTGCTCAGATATGTGAAGGTTTCTAACATTCCCAAAACTTCTCCTTTAAATGTGATTTGGTTGGTACATGTTGTGTTGTATCGGAGAATCTTTCTTCTCCCCTACTGTGTATGTTGAGACCTACTGTTGCTGAGGCTGCTTCTACATTGGTCGTTTTTTATTGCATTCGTTGTTGCTTGTGGGAGAGAAGAGCCAAATCATCTGCGAAGTCTAGATCGTCCAACTGGAGCCCCTCAGGGGTCACTACCGGTCCCAAGACTAGATAAAAGAGAAGGGTTGGGTATGGGGGCTAGCAACCCCATTCCGTAGAAAACTAACTCTCAAAGAAAACGCTAACCAGAAAAAATAATTCTTTCACATAAACAAATTTGGTTTCCGTTGAAATACATTTTTCGCTCTAAACTATTTGCGCTGTGTTTATACTTTTCATAGTGATCTGACACTACTTAGATCGTTCTGTCCATATTAGTATTTTCAAGTGCAAACTTGACAGCAATCGGGGGGTAAAATGTTCGTGATTATTGGTCTTACGTTGGGCAAGAAGTCCTTCATTTCTTTGACTTAGGTTACAAAGAAACTAGAAAGATTCTTGCCCAGTAATTTGGAAGAACCCATATGTTTGCGCAAAGTTTATTTGAATTATCAAAAGGAAGTGAAAATCAAATGGAGGATAACTCCAATAAGTTATCTAGTTTCGTGAATAATTTGTTGTTGTACAGGAACGGGATGATGTCTTCAGAGCTGGAGCATGAATTAGATTCCATGCCAGTGTCGAAACTATTGATGATTAGGTTAGTGTTAAAATGGAAGAGGAATGTACCGAACCAAGTTCCTATGATATAATAAGTCCGATGTAAGGTGGTATTAACTAGTAAACAAATAGATTTGCAAACGTAGTTCAGTAGATAGTAAATCAAGTGAAATCGATAGTTAACGGAAGAGACTGAGAAGCCTGAAGCCGACTATAGAAGGATTTGTCCTATGTCAATGGCAACAACAGCTTGAGTATTGTGACAAGTATGTGAGGTTTACAGTGAATCAAATGTTGGAGTTTAAAAGAAAGGGGAATGCGCCTGTTTCAAGTGTTTGAAAGGTGGTCATATAAGTAGAGAAATTGCAAAATACTGGGAGGCAAAACCCGCTCATTGTTGAGGATTGATTTCACATGTCAACTGTCACTACATAGTGTCAGACGAGATGTAAACAGCTAGACTAGTTTAATTACCGACTATAATTTCTAATAAGAAGGGTACGAATTAAACGGGATAGTGGAGGAACTGTTTGTTGACACGGAAATATTCCAACGGGGTTGAACAAGCGACATGATACATTATCCAAACACACGTTCATGTCACAGTAAGTAAGGTCAGCGCAATTAAGTAAAATAAAGGACCTCAATCCCCATTCAATATTGATTTGCTTAACAGTGAAATCAACATGCATTGAAATCAGTTGACTTTTTCAGTGAGAGACAAACAAAATATTGTTTAACAATGACTGAATACTTCAACTTGTGGCCAAATGATGGTTAAAAACCAAGTTGCGGGTTCGACCGACGCCTAGTTTGAGTGAACGGTCATTAGCACCAGCTTAAAAGCGATTACCTGGTAAATGAGTCAATAATGATTACATCAAAATAGATTAATATAAACTTACTCTCCAGTAAAATTTCATCCCAATTCATAAGAGTCAAATCAAGATCGGAACACACTAAAAGGCTTGTTGATGTGTTGCACTGCTTTGTATTAGATTGTACATTGAAGGGAATAATTAGAGAGGTAGGCGGTAGAATCGATCGATTGGGATTCGCATACGACAAAAGATGACATGAAGCTGGAATCCACGGTGAGTAAATGGGATTTTTCGCTGTGAAAAACAAATGAAAACATTAGTGTCTCAAATGAACAAAATGCGATTCGCAGTGAAATCTAGGACGTGCGTTTTGTCCCACATAGGACACGTCGTCTGGATGCTATCTGTATCTCAGAGTTCACATATGCACTCCGAGATTCAAACCCAGTACCGTTTACTCCAAACACTGTCTCGTTATTCAAATTGCATTGATGTTTCGATTTTCCCATACATCAAATCTAATAAAATGTAACTGGTCGAAAAAAAGCCTGTGCTGCATAGTTTCCTACTATCGAAGCTGAAGGTGAATACCTCAAGCCAGTAGCCAAACTAATATATGAGATCAGTCAATTCATTGACTGATTGTAGAATTGATCCGTGTTAATAGATTCACGCTGTCTGGTTGAGATCCTCACGACCATTATATCCAATGGATGAAGACATTGAAAAACATGACTCAGATGCATTTATTCTGTTTTGCCTCCGATGATAAAATTCTCGAATAGTATCATTCACGATCAAGCCTTTTCTATTGCTACTGATACACTGAATATATTAGGATTTCCCGTGATAATCTCATTTCATCCTACTGATATAGTGTGGTAACTTTGTTATAAGTTTTGGAAGGTTTTTTATATTTTCCTCAATCAGAGTTATGGAGATCAGTGCTTTTACACATTGAAATCGTCAATCAATCATTGTTAGATCACCACTATTAGAAACCTGGAAGCACTGAAAGATGGCCGTTTGGTCCTAAGTATGGGACTCATCAGTGGCAGTGCACATCCACGACTCCTGAACCTCGCAGGATTCGAACCTAGGACCTGTAGTCTCGCGCGCGAACGCCTAACCTCTGGACCACGTTACTATATATTTAATGACTGACTGTCAGAGAATTGATGGAAATAATGCGATAATTTCACACATTTTGAAATCAGTAGAAAAAACAAACAACTAACTAATCAAATCACACAAATAAATAAATCATCTTACAGTATTCCGAATTATAATTCCATATCATCAATCGATAATCCTTAAACAGTGTGTACAATTGATTTTTTTCCGATGGAACAAATTCCATACTGACAACTGGACAACCAAAATGTGACAATGAATAAGTATCAACTGATGTGAATCTATCAGTAAAAAAAAATAAAATTGGAAGAACCCTTCACATGAAGATAAATTTCAACGATAAAAAACAGATATTGGCTGGCCAAAAACTTGAAACACGTGGTTCGTTTAACCAGCTACCCCTTGAGTCTTCGACATAAGAACCTAATTCACAACAATAAAAGAGAACGACATTAGAAGCTGATACAGTACCAAGATATCTTCCGGTAAAAATCAATACATGTTTACGCCATCTTCTGTCTCAGAATCTTCAAGCTCATGTGCATAATCGGTTTGGAATCGGAGTTTATCAAATCAACTGAGTGATTCTTGTGTATTCACACCAACTCGGTACAAACACTGGATATTCACTTTTTATCCTTTGAATATTGTGAAAAAGGAATACACCATTAATTCATTAAAACAAGAAAGACCAACAAGTTCAATGCTCAACAATAACTTGAATATTATGACTTTTCGCATCAGATCACTCCTTCTAAGTGTATGAATCACTTTACTTGATCGGCTGAAGCCAGGCTAAAAGCATTAGCTACTGAGCAACCGCTCAACAAATAGTTTGGTTCAGGAGCCTTCATTGTCATTTTGGAAAATAGAATTACCAACAAAATCAAATAGATGTGAATCATTTGAAAAATCATCCACAGGACATAATCAATCTATTTTGGGGCAGAGTTTTGACCATCGATCAATCATTGTTAGACCACCATTAGAAACCTGGAAGCACTGGACGGTCGTTTCGTCCTGGTATGGGACTCATCAGCAGTGCGCATCAATCTATAGCAAATGAGTTAATTTTGGAGTAGGCTGGAAGAAAGCTCAAGGCGGCCAAACCAAAACATGACACAAATTCATGAAGTCACTGACAAGTGGACTGAGCCATGTTGGAGGGTGTAGACTACCAGGTTGGGGTCCAAGAAACATCAATAAAAGATGGATAGACAGACAGACAGATACAACGCAGAACTTCGTATGTATGTACATCAGTTCAGGTTGCCATGCCCAATCAGCACAGAGACGTGACTGTCAGTTCAAATCCAAGAGTGATAGCAATAATAGAAGTATTAGCAGTAATGGGGAAGATTAGGGAGCGAAGATATGATTCGAGAAGTATAATTCAGTAAGATAAATTTGGAAGGAGAAAGGTAGAGATTATGAGGAATGCAGAAGGTTAGAATTTCATAGTACACAAAGAGTGGATGCACCTGCGCCATTGCAAACGATTCTGAGCCATGTCGTTCAAGGTCTCTAACCACCGGTGACTATTGTCTCGCGGACCCCAATCAGGTAGCCTACATGGATAGAGACTTTGAATGATATGGCTGGAAAATCGTTTGCAATAGTGCAGGTGTATCCATTCTTTGTGTTCTACGAAATTTTAGTATTTTTAATTCCTCATTACCTTTATCTTTCTCTTTCTAAATTAACTGCACTGAGTTATACTTCTTGAATATTATCTTCAAACCCTAATCTTCGCCATTACCGCTAATACATTTCAACTACATCTACTACTATGGGATTTGAATAGACAATTCGTTCCCTTCGTTCGTGCTAATATTGTGATATGGCAACCTGAACTGATTTACGTACGTGTCAAGTTCTACGTTGTAGCTGATTGACTGATTTGATTCACGACTGATTGTCTTCACCAGATTTGTTGCCTTGATGCATGTGACAACAATTGCAAAGTATTTCAAAATTAGTGAGGAGATTTTTTACTTAAATTAAAACAGTCTGCTTAATTCCTACTTTTCAAAATATGAGATTTGTTCAATAACACTCTCAAACTACAAAGGAGGTAGTAGTAGTAGTGTGGTGCTGTGGTGCGAACTACTTATAAGTAGTATATGACGTGAGCGTCAACGTAATGTCTGGCAGCAGAAGATGGGGGAAGATCAAGAAAGGAAGAATTAAAAAACAATGGAATTTGTATAAAACGCATGAATAGTGACAATGGATTGATGTTTTGCAACAGGAACAGTCCAGTTCGATATGATGAACTGTTATTTTGCAAATGAACGATTTACGATATGGTTTTCCAATTTTATTGAGTAACTCTGTAATTTTCGTTAAATACAATTCGGTTGCCCCACCTGTGTTCTCGTTCACTACAGTAGTAGTCCGCTTTAAGAGATCAAAATGCATAGATAGATTAGAAATAATATCTTCCAAGATTCAAAATGCATTTTCTTTGTCAACACATGAAACAGTTACTTACTTAACCAAATTATGAATTCCATCAACTGAAGGTGATGCTACATCCACGTTATCCACATTCTTCTCATCCAACTTACTACTACTACTACTATTACTACATTGCCACCATGTTAGACGTGATTGATCATCAATTGATGAGTCATTAGTGGACATATTTACACATTCATAAGTCACAAACCATGTAAATGTCATTTCTGTGCATAATTGAGCAATGAATAATACTTCAGTATACATAATTGGATGTTTTGTATCGGTATTTCGTACAGCAAAATTCTGATGAGTAATATCAATCTGTTTAAGGGGAATAATGTACGAAAAACAACAACAATAACAAAAGTAACATGACTTTGTCATTATCATTTGCATTGAAAAAATTTAATCGATGGTTAATAAAAAGAATTGTACATTTAAAGCCTACAGAACAATGTGACTTCATAAATAATATTTCAATATCCTAATGCTAAAAATACACCTCAGGTTATTATTATCTAGTTAGAAAACAGTCAACTTGATATGCTTGAACTATTACGAGTTCATCTTAATCGGAAAAAGAGAGCCAAGATCGAGGATCCGGCGACACGACATGCTACTCTAATCCGAGTGTCCTAAACCCCCATTGAGTAAAAGAAGAAGACTTGATATGAAGTAGAACATGTAATTCTACAAGCATCCAGAAAGTACGACGTCCGAGTTCAGAAGAGAATCAGGATCATGGACTAGGGATCCGGGTAAGGGTCATAAAACGTTACAGATAATGCATATTTATACAGTTAGGTAGAATAGCAACCAACATTGAAGTCTGTGACATTGACAGTTAGGACGACCAATAGGAATTGATCAATAGAATTAGACTTACAACTACTTCTCTTAGGATATTGGATGAATAACCTAACAACAACCTTTGTCAAGAGGTTAGGAGTTCGCGCCCCGGGACGAAGGTCCTGTTTTCAACCTCTGCTCATTGGGTCGTGGGTGCGCACTGCCCAGTCCCAAAACTAGGACAAAAGAGTCATCCAGCATTTTCATGTTTCTAGTGATGCTCTCACTGTCATCGTTTCAAGATTTCAATCAACTTTGTTGTTACCTAAATTGGTTGTTATCGATTCTAATTCTCTTTTTTATGGGTATCCTAGGTCATGTGCTCACTCCCGGAGGAAATTCTCAGAGTTCCAGTGAGAAGTTATGACCAGTGGTGTTTAACCAGATCAGATGTGAGTCAATTACCCACCACCGATCACAATGTGGATCGACTTAGGTTATACATATTAACAAAGATTGAATGCCAGTTCAGTGATCTAGAGGTTAGGACGTTTGCGTACTGGAATCATTTGAAATTAAAAATCCTAATGTTATTACAATCAACAGTCTGCGTCAATTAAATAATAATAATAATAACAGTCAATCAATCAATCAATCGATCGATCGATCAATGATTTACCTTTTGAACATGACGTTCACCATCAATTACATTAGTTAATTGTAATTTACCACAACCACCATTTGTTAAGAAGCAGGTCGAAGACAATACATCGTCGTCATTATTCATTGATGATGAGAGTTTATTTTGTAAAATCATTAAATTTGTTGGTATTTTTAATGAACTGCGGATTGGAAACCAATATTTTGGTAATTGCATAAAGCCTTGATTTGAATAGATTATTGTGAAAGCACCATCCATAATGTGAAATGCTAATGACATGAAAAGAATTTTTACAAAAAACAAAAAACGAACAGTAAGAAATTTTTCTTAACCAAATGAAATAGTAGAAGTAATAGTTGTCATTAATGAACCGATAAAAGCTCGAAAGCTCAGCTCGTCTAGCTATGAACATGATGAGGCATGGAGGCAGTTTAAGCACAGGCTGATATAAGAAGCCTATGCAATGATCGCAAACAGTGATGGGCAGCGAAAGCAGGTGAGATGAAAAACAGTAACAGTAGACAATTATTCAGACTTATCACGGAAACCGGAATTAGGAATCTCACTGTTAGTGAGATTATCTCGGAAAAAGATGGGACTATTATTCATTGTTAATCCAGGAGATTATATGGATGAGCAGAACACTCTAGGATGCAGTTCCACTGGCCATTAGCCATACTTCGGTTACCCATGATCTCTAAACAACCTGAACGGCAAGTTGATTGAACTCTTTTGACTCTTCGTAAGGTTAGGAATGCTATAGGCAATTTAAGGCGAGGGAGAGCAGAAGGCTCTGATAGATTAACCTCTGAGATTTTTGACGATGGTGGTTCAGTGTTAGCAGTTAGATTGTTCGAGGTCTTAAATAGAATTTGGGAACTAGAAGTAACCCCGTCTGACGGGTCTCAATCACTGATTGTCCAGGTCTATAAAAAAGGACAATAGTCCTATTGTGAAAATCAAAGAGGAATCAGTTTGACTAATATAGTGTCCAAAATGTTGGCCTTGATATTACATAGGCGCCTAACTAGAGCTCATGAAGATCAGACTAGAGAAAACCAGGCTTGTTTCAGACCGGGGCATAAGTATATAGACCGGATATTCACACTACGTCAGGCCCTAGAACACAGACACACGTTCAGACGTCTCACAATAGTAGTATTTCTCGACCTTAAAGCGGCATTCGACTCTGTCGATCGTGATGTTCGATGGTAGTGTCTGTCATTAGAAGATTCAGCAAAGAAGTACATTAACCTTGTACAGGTTCTCTACTCGAACGCTACTGTACGAGTCTGGGCTTATGGTAGACTGTCATTAGAATAAGCTACTTTAAGTGGCGTTCGTCAGGATTGTCCACTTTCTCCAATCCTATTCAACCTAAACATTGACATGTTTTAAAAGCCAACACTTTCACCAACTGACTTTTCAGTAATTGAACTTTTAACAGGAGATTCACTTGTTAACTTACAATACGCTGATAACAGTTCTATTTGGTGAAGACGCTGACAAAATGCAGCCTTCTGAACAGAAGGCTTGCCTGGCTTTTGCCAACTTACGTCACTTATGGCGTAGGAGCGATATCTGTCTGCTAACCAAAGGACGAGTTTACTGAGCGGTTAGTTTTACTTAATGCATGTGAAACATGGTCACTAAAAATAGAGGATATTAGCAGGTGACTAGTATTTGATCATCGGTGTCTTAGAAGCATTGTTCATATATCCTGAGTCCACAAAGTAAGAAACGATGCTAATAGGAATAAGGTACTATGAAAGGATGGTAAATCAATTGATGGAGTATTGAATTCTCATTAGTTGAGGTGGTTTTTGATATGCGTTATGTCCAACCACCGACTGCCTTGATGAGCGATGTTGTCTGGTGTAGGAGTGGCCTGGAAGAAAGCTAGGGGCGGCCAAACCAAAACATGGACTAAATCCATGAATTCGCTGACAAGTGGATTGAGTCATGTTGGTAGGTATAGACTACCAGGTTGGGGTACGCCAGACATGGGTAACCGATGATTAGAGACCTTGAACGACATGGCTCAAAGTCGTTTGCAATGGCGCAGGTGCATTTGTTCTTTACCTTCTTCCGAATCCTGTAAGTGTTTTCCTCTCTTTAAATTTATTTCACTGTATTATATTTTTCTAATCATATCTTAGGACCTTAATCTTTTCTGTTAACGCTATTACTGCTACAACCTATACTACTAAGGGATTTGTACTAACCAATTCATCTCTCCGAGCTAATATGGTAAGGAAACTTGAACTGATGTACATACGCATGAAGTCCTACGTCACAGTTGACTGATAATTATTGTGTTCTTATAGTATAATTAATAGGTAATTAGGTCTTCATCATAAGCTTACGTTGAATATCTGGACAATGGTTATACGTTTTATGAAACCTAAATTATTGTTAAACAGTTATTCATGACTTGCCCAGTTCACTGAGACTTTTTGCTGATTAATGTATAAATTATGGTTTTTGTTCTACAGTGTGATACTGTCTCGTGTGTTTTGAGTATAAAAGGAGCTTGGTTGGTGTATTTTCTTATTTAGACTCAAGACGGAATGGAAGCAAACATGTTTCAGAGGATACGTGAGAATCGAGATAATCTCAGTTCTAATCTTGTTATTCGATGTGTACATTGGTCAAAGCTCAGAACCATAAGCCATAGATGAAACAGGAAACACGAGGTAAAGAAATTATAACTAGAATTCTATTCGGTGAGACTTTTCGAAATATCGATTTAAGTCGAACTTATAACAGTAGTTGTTGTTATCGTTGAAGATAAGTATTAAGTTGATCAATATAATCTCTTGATTTAGAAATTCATATAACTACAAGTGAAGATGGTGACAAATACATGAATCACAGATAACTGTACCTCAGAAAAAATATATCAATCTTTAAACAAAAATAGTGGAAATAACACAAACCTTAAGTGGACGTTTATGCTGATGATATTGTTTAAAGGAATAGATGGAGGCTTTACACATTTCGGGAAAAATTTTTATACTTATGTTATCATCTTGGAGTTAAACATGTTTTACTACAGAACACCTACTCGCAATCTTTAAAATGAGGCAATAGGGAGATCAGATCAGTATATACATGGAATTCTGATTTACTCTGTTTTATACATCGTAACCTAACATCGACAGTTTTTCGATGGTTCTTAATAAAACTACTACCATTTGTTTGAGTTACTGAGCAGTATTGTAGTGGATTTTCGTTTTATATGATGGACATATTAGTTGTGGAGCTTTCATTGTTCTTCTGAACATCATCAGTACAAACTGCAGATAGAAGTGAAGTGAATGAGACTGAGCAGTATCTCGGTTTTTGTAAAAACATTTAATTATGATAAAAATACAGATTTGAGTGCAAAAATTATGGAAATTCAAGCTCGAGGAAACTGTAAGCAAGACAGATTCTCTAGGAGCATGATATGCAAATCGATTTGGAAGTAGCAAGCATTCTCATATAAATCGAATTGAATTTTAAATGAGGCTGTGATCGATTGTATGCCGCAGTAGAGTATTAGCTTCATGACAATGTTTGCCACGAAGATCCCAGGGATGCCATACGTAAATTCACTTTCAGACATCAAGGCCATTTCCCAAAAGATTTTTAATCGATGACAATGATAGAAATTATTTTCTAAAATATATGGTAGACAATTACTTACAGTTATTCGCCAAATTTACAGAGATCATATCTTCACAGACACCGCCATGACTTCGAACAGAAGATATTGGAGAGCCGAAATGGGGTAGAAATCGACGCTGTTGTGGACCTCCAAAACAGTCAGTCATATCCCATTTGACCAACACACCTTCCAAACCACCAGAGAGAAGATGTGTGCCTGTAAGTTGAAAAGATCTTAATAATGCACTGTTTTCAACATACAACACAATTTTATACAAAACTAAACAAATGTCCCTACAGTTTGTTGTTAATGTTACTAGACTTCGATAAAATTGTTTATGGTAAAACAATCAGAACAATAGACACTGTCTGCAGTCAGTCAGTTGCAACGTAGAACTTCGTACGTATGTACATAAGTTTATGTCACCATACCACATTAGCACAGTGACGCAAATGTCAATTCAAATCCCATAGTGATAAAGATAGTAGAAATATTAATGGTAATGAAGAAGACTAGTGTTTGAAGATATTATTCAAGAAGTATAATTCAGTGAGATAAGGTTAGAAAGACAAAGGTAGAGGTGCTGACGATTCTAGAAGATTAGGATTTGAGAGAGCTTAACGAATGGATGCACTTTCTGCAGTAATATATTTGTTAGAATAATTAAAATTTTCATGAATAGAGATAGTTTCTTCCATAATTTCGTTCCCAAAAAGCCTAACAATTATTTTACACGATAACAAGATAACATCTTCTGTGGTGATGTGAAAGACAGACAGATACAACGCAGAACTTTGTACGTAAGTACATCAGTTTAGGTTGCCATACCACATTAGCACAGAGACGCAATTGTCAATTCAAATCTCATAGTGGTAGCGATAGTACGAGTATTAGTAGTAATGGCGAAGATTAGGGTTCAAAGATATGATATGATTCTATAAGTTTTATTCAGTGAGATAAACTTAGGAGAAAGATGGAGATGATGAGGAATGCAGAGGCTTAGAATCTCATAGAACACAAAGAGTGGATGCACCTGCGCCATTGCAAGCGATTTTGAGTCGTGTCATTCAAGGTCTCAAACCATTGGTGACTTTCGTCTCGCGGGCCCCAACCAGGTAGCCTACATCTACCAACATGGCTCAGTCCACTTGTCAGTGACTTCATGGATTTGGTCCATGTTTTGGTTTGGCCGCCCCAAGCGTTCTTCCAATCTACTCCTACACTGCAAAACATAGCTCGTCGAGGCAGTCGGTGATTAGCCATACGTAACACATGTCCCAACCACCTCAAATGATGAAGTTTCACTACTTCATCTATTGATTTGCCATCCCTACCTAGAACTCGTTTCCTAACGACAGCATTGCCTATACAGTTGTCCCATGATACACGAGTATGAATATAATATCTTAATGGATAAAAACTAGAATGATACATAGTCAGTCAGCTACAATGTAGAACTTTGCACGTACGTACATCAGTTCAAGTTGACATACCACATTAAGACAGAGAGATCTAATTGTCAAGTAGAATCCTATAGTATTAAAGGTAGAAGAAGTAATGTCAGTAATCAAAAAGATTAAGGTTTAAAGATATGCTTCAAGAAGTATAATCTAATGAAACAAATTTGAAAAGAGAAAGAGTCATGAGAAATTCAGAAGACTAGAATTTGAGCAGACAAAGAGTGGATACACCTGCGCCATCGCAAACAATTTTGAGCCATGTCATTCAAAGTTTCAAACCACCGACTGCTGTCGTCTCGCGGGCCCTAACCACGTGGTCTACACTTACCAACACGGTTCAGTCCAGTTGTCACTGACTTCCTGGGTTTATGCCAAGTTTTGGTTAGGCAACCCCTGGCTTTCTTCCAGCCAACTACATCACAAAAGATTGCAGAATGAGACAGAGAACGATAAGTGGGAAAAAAGTGAAATCAGTATGTAATATGGCAGGAATTATACAGTACACAAAATATCGTTTGCATATTACCAGATACATAACAAAGAATGATATTTCAACCCGAAGAAATTTATTTCACTATCCTCAAACACCTTTTAAGGATGATTTGAAACACAACTATACTAACTGCTAACAAATTGAAACTTAACTAAATTTTCGTTATATACGACAGAAAAAAAACATTACATTTTCAACTAACCACATGGCGTGAAGCAAAGACTTGTTACTTGTACAGAATGCCAATGAAGTAAAGACCGTTTAACATGAGATGGATGAACTGGGTAATAGGTGAGTAGACGGCCTTCTGCAAAACATTTTTTGATAGCATTTTTGGCATCATCAAAAGCATCATTTTCTGTGCAGTTTTCCTTTTCAGCCCATTCGTCAGAAGCAGGGTTTAATAAGTTGAAATGACCATCCGTCTGAGTACATAAATTCCACCAAATGAATATTTCACCGATACCATTTCCCGTAGCAATAACCTGGTCGTTGGGATGTGCTGCGATGCATGTATACTTCTTTTTTTCTGCATGCTTTTCACTAGTTGGAACCAAATACCTTGGAAGAGAAATAAAATTTGCTTTCATTATGTCAACAATGTCAGTATACATGAGTCCTGAGAGCGGATGCATGCTACTACTTGACTTCACCCTTATTATAAGCTATTGCGATTTGATGAGTCATAGTAGTTATACTCTAAAACAAACAGACCTAAGCGTGAAGACATTGACTTTGAAGCTGTAGTCAGCTTTTTCATGAGGCCAGAGTAAAATAAATAAACCAACTGAACGCAGTATACCCATTAGAAACAAAGCTTAGGGAAGACATAGGTTCAACATAAAAAAGGATCATTTTTTGGGCGTACTCGTTGCAACTATTGCTTAAAGGAAGAACTTAAGCTTTACTTCATAAAAGTCGGGATATTCTTCGACTGGAAATCAAAAGCCACGGTCGACGACGCTTCATGAATAATATCCTCGAACCCTCAATTTTCCGATTACTGCTAACACTTCTACTACCTCTGATACTATGGGATTTGAACTGACATTGCTAACGTTGTATGACAACTTGAACTGATGTAGGTAAGTATGAAGTTCTGTTTACTGACTGACAAGATAATATATTTCAGCATTTTTCGGCAAGTAACAACGTTGAGTATTTTGTGTTCATCAATTTCAGCTTTCATTATTCACCAACCGGATGTAAACAGCGAAAAATTCATTTAATTTTGTTACTTCCTATCTAGTCGAGTGCAATTAATTTGTGTTCTACAAGTACAGTTATCTGTGATTTGTTGAAATCTATGGAGAAACAGTATCATGAATTTTATAAGCTGATTGCATGAAAACTTGAGAACGGGTTTTGAGATATAGAACTATCATGATCATTAACGGGTATTTAAAATCAGTCCTAATCGAATAATACTATAAGTACTCAAACTAAGGAGTCAAAGAATTACCTTACTGAGACATTTAAGTTAATCCAGTATACGATAAGGATGGAATCGACTATACAAGCTACAAAGTCCGAATCCTACAGAGAATTAATAGCAAAAGACTTTTACTTTATACGCCATTATAGCATTTTGAGGGAATTCTACGTGATCCGTATAAGTTCCAGTAGCACGATCGTATGACTTCACGATATCTATAAAAGAATATGTAAATACCATTTAGCTACGTTTATTTTTGCACATATGGCTGAAAATGTAGCCAGTTGTAGTAGGAAAGCAAAAGTCTATAGGATACCTAGTATCTAAAGTCTTAACAATTTTGTACACTGGATCAAAAGCTTACCTGAACTTTCTCATAAGTTTTAATATCCCAAACAATTATTTTTCCATCCAAACCACCAGTAATCACCTAAAGTATTGGTCAAACATCCAGTGACATACATGATGGGGTCTGTCAATTTCAGGTACAATCCAAACAACAGAATCTCTGTGTCCTTGTAAGAGTTGAGATACTCCGGTTCGTGCATCAAGGACAACAACAAGCTTGTCAGAAGAGGAGACGATACACCTGAAAAATATTTCAGTAGTTTATGTTACCTTTCGTTTTTCAGGTATACAGGGTCCGAGTTAATAATAAGCGACGACAGCCTACTAACCTTCGTAGTCATGCTGCAAAATCCCTATGACGCGCCCGTCCCATCGACCTTATCACTGAAGCATTTCAACTGCATTATTCATTATGTAAAACTGAAGGTAACATGTCAACTTAATGGTTATGTGAAAGTGCAGATGAAAGGTATGGTGGAGCATCACTTTGTATGAGTTTCACAGACGGGCTATGCTGAATTTATCCCTTGATTTTTGGTTCCTCTGCTCTGCTTTCATTCAAGGAGAGCGAAACCCGTCTATTGTGTACCTAGGACTTTTGATTGTTGGAAAAGTTAGAAAACTATGAACCTCCAGAGGAATACTATCATTCGCTTTGTCAAATGATAACATCCAACGGAATGAAACCCCCACTGCATCTTAGAGCGATGCAACGGTCGTTTATAAAATCACTGGTGGGCACATCATCACTGATATGAATGACTGTACAAGTTTAAGAGATTCTCGACAGTGTCATAGATAACAGCAGTAAAATTTTTGATGGCTGTATACAATAGTGGTTCCTTTGCACATAATTCCCTGTCTATTTCGGATTCGAAATAAAATACTTTTGTTCCAGCTAGCGTAGTTCTTCCTGAGTTCAGTGCCGGTTCATATATGGCTACTAGAGTACTAATTAGACCTTTCTGGGTATTATTAGTTCGTATACGCAATGCAAATACTCCTGGTGATCAACTTATTCGACTTCGAAAACTCAATATAAAAGTCTAGAATGAGGCAGTTTATGTCAAAAGTTTTATGATGTGGTGTATCCACTGTTATGAAGAAAACGCGATTGGTTTAATAGAAACATTCATTATTATAACCAACTGTACCAGCGACAGTTTTACTGATCCTCTTTTTTTATTGCTATCTGCACGCCCAAACTTTCCGTTTGCGTTGCTGTTAGTTATTTCCATAACTAATTGTAGTTATGCTATAACTAACCAAATGTAGTTTAAGCGTTCACCACGTGATCTGGTCTGACGTCCTCGTGGACTATCTTTGTTGTAAATGACCTACTAATTGAAGGACATTATTATCTTATTATATTGATGTAACTCATAGTTCTATTCATTTCCATAAGACACGCTATATTAGTCGGTATGTTTGCTCGTTTCACTTCGAAACTGTAATTTCCTTATTTATTGTACTAATCTAACTGTTTTTATGTGTAGAAACAGATAAAGTTTAAAACTAAATTGGTCTTGTTTTGACTATAGCTTTCCCACAGACTCTGTGCTCTCCAATATTGCGTTTATAGTTCTAGAAATACATCTTTAAGACAAATTAAATCCTACAGTTGCTGTCGTTTCGGCTACTCTGTCTCTGTAATTTCAGACAATATCAGTATTCTTCCGATACCACGAAATCGCCAGCAAGTGTGTTATCTCGCATGGGTTTACTTATATTCTCTGTGACTGGCATATAATTGTTCTGTAGTGGTGATCATAGTTAATCATGACCCAACATGCCACTAAAATGATTTGATACGGTGATGTTAATCAAGCAGTACCTAGCAGTTTATCTACAGTTGCTGACTTAGTTTATAGAACCAATTAAATTTTATTTGGTCCGTAGAGTAACCGAGATCAGGCAATATCTTTAAATAATCTATCGAGCAAGCTTTCATTCTCTCTTTGGGAAAATTATGAATTGTCGAATGCTGTAGGTTAATTAGTGATCCGCATGACTGTAAAGCAGTAATTATTGATTATGACAGTGCATTAACCTGATTCACTGGTAATCTTCCAACGTTCTTGTTGATTCACGCCAAGGTTAGTGGATAATATGTACCTTTTGAAGAAAGAAAAAGAATCCTCCTGACTGGGTAATTTTAACGTAATATCTAGGGTCGCATAATGATTGTAAGTTGCATATTGCAGCAAGAATATGTCAAATCTTCTTTCCCGTTCAGTAAATGTTGTGACAGTAGTGGTAAATAATAGCAACTATTCGCGACCTAATGAAATAATCCTCATGACACTTAGGACAGGTGCATCAAGGAACAGAGAACAAATATCTGTATCCTGTAAGACTTTGTTAGGTAATAACTGTATCCACAGCCTTTTCCATGTAGCACTTAACATATTTCGATATCAGTTGATTGCAAAAGTGGTCGACATTAATTCAAGGGAATTAGGAGATATGCGCATGATAAAACAATTTCAGAGGATACTTTCGAACAATTATACTGATTAAGGACATCTTCAGCTTCAACTGTAAGTCAAGTTAGCCTTCACGAATGAGAATCTCATCTTCATTACCACATCCTAACGGTTTTGTCATTAAACCTGCAAGGCTTGAAGATATGAGTACTTCAGGATGATGAATGAACTGGTTCGCTTATTTTTTCTTCAAACAAATAATTCATTGCCTTTTGCATTGTTCCTCCAAGACAAATAAGGAATAGCCATCTTCTAAAGAAGAATGTGTCACCATAAATTTGAAGTGCCGTAAGCCAATTCTCACCCCCGCAATGTACTGTCAAACTTCAAGTAGAGATTCAAGGTCTTCATTGAGGTCCATCAAAGAATACTTCACATCAAACCGTTGCACTCACTAAAATCCCACTAGGTATACACGAATAAATTTCGTTTCTAATTAGTAAATACCCATCATATGTAGCTTGAGAACAACAATCCTCAAAATTGTTACTTCTGCAGGTATTGTAACAAATCAGTCCTATTTGGCACAAAGACAGCACATCGAAAGCTCCAACAGGTAGTTTAGAGAGGGAGATTTCGGGAGACTAGGAATAATATCGCATGTAACGGAATCGTTTGTATCGGTGGAGCAGGATGACAATGAATGTGAGAAGGGTTAGTCGTTGAGGTTAGAAAGTTATTGGGAGTTGTAGGAAGGATATGACTGTGACCAATTTGGTCTTTGTGTTGTTACGAGTGTGAGGCTAGATGGCACTTCCCGAGTTCTCACACCTTGAAAGGGTGTTCATTGAGGAACCTGAGAGAGATATTGGGTTAGTGAGAGAGCACTACAGCAGAACCCAAGGGAGACCTGTCATGCACAGCCTTTTCAAAGGAAGTTTGTAAAATGTTAGCTGAGCTCATCAGGTATATAGAAATATTTATTACTCCCGCAGTAAGCTCTGAAACCGAAAGGTGTAGGTTCATACGCGTCTCGCCCAGTCCAAGTAGTTACAGCCCCCTCAGTGGACTGCTTTAAGAAGAGACTTGATAATCACGTACTCACATACGGACTATCATCTCCCAGTTGGACAAGCTGTGCCTGATGCATATCTTGAGACCTGCTAGTTGTTACCATTGCCATCTCCTCAGATCACTCAATTAATCTATCTTGCCTATTATCTCTGTTTCCTCTCCCTTGCTTACACTTCGGTCCTCTCTCACAATCTTCACTACCAATTAATAAACTAAATTCATCTATATATTACTCAGTTCTGAAATTTTATTCATATTATCATTTTAATTTATCCTTATTACCCTTATTACTCTCCACATTGCAACTAACTGATCTCCGGTTTGGTAATGTGACGGCTGCTAGTATCCAGAAACCCTACTGCCCTGAAACAAACGTTTCATTCAAATCCCGAGATATACAAACTCACAACCAACTACCAACTGACTAGAATTAGACAGTCGAGTGGCTAGACCTCCATCCATTGGACATTCCCGAACACCTGGAACCGTACCGAAAGAAGAAGAATCGAGCGCGAAGAAATCAAATTAGTTTACACTAGCTCGTGGAAAAGATATTGGATATTGGAAGTCCATAAACGATAATTCTGGGAAAGAACGCTTCTAAATTTAATCAAAAAAGGAAATTCAGACAATTACCAAAACAATATTACACCTTCGAGTTTCTAATCACAACAATAAATTCCGATACTGGAAGAATAAGTGCTTCCAGTTAGTTGCAACGAGCAGGCAGTATAACTGTAGGTGCTGTTTGTCTAAGAGAAACACCTCACTGCCGCCACACACTTTTAAAATCATCAGTACCACTGCACTCAGACGTCAAGTTGCCACTTACTGATATCCTATAAACCTGGATCGTGTGTTCCGCCCAATATAGTTAGGTCGAAACATCACGATAGGCGAACACAACCACCACGTCAAGGTAGCAGCTACGGTCAAGAAATGTCAACACGTAAGTATCTGTTGATAGAATTGCAGATCAAAGTACTGTTCCCGTGATGGGTTTGAATGCTATCACGAGGTCACCGTAGTCGGCAAACTGAACGAAGATCAGCGATACAGTGACACGGTAGGCTATTCCAATCCGATTGTTTCAGGCCCTGCTAACTAGATCAAGAAGTCTTGATAAGGCGAAAAGTGTGCATTCTACAAGCACCCATAAAATACGAGTTCGACAAGTACACAAATCAGGCTTGTTTATACAAGGATAGATACGCCCTCGGGAGAGCCATAAAACAGCGTACTAAAACAACCCATCAGTCAATGACAGTCAAGGATTTTTCGAGTGGTAAATGTCAGCTGAATGCCAGCTGGCGCGAAAACATGGAAACGCAAATTTTCAGAAATAAATTACAAAATTAGGACCTTTCCAAGTGAGCTCTGGGGATCTAACGTCACCAAAATTTCGGACGTCATATTAACTGAATAATCAGATAATTATTTTTCATGAAGTAAACAGTATAATTAGTATTATTAGTTCACATATACCAAGCGACTGAATGGAGGCTTAATATACGAACCTCAATGTAGTTGGAATAGATATGACCGGTTCAATGTACTGATAGCACCCAGTGAATATTATTACACATCAGACAACAACAAGCCAAATATCTTGGCACAATCGAGTGGCCAGAGTTTACTCTCGCTTTCGTAATGCTTTCACTCGGCCATGTGTATACAGCCATTGCCAGGGAAACCCCACTCAGTGTCTTGTCATGGGGTTGTTTGCGAAATTCAGAGAACGGGTGGCGAATGTCCGGTGCCTTAACTGGTTTGGTGGAAACGAAAGATCTATCTGAGTTGGAAAAATTGGATTGCAAGCCAATGGTGCACATGTGCTACACCATCACCCGCTATGATAGGACTGCAGCTCTTGACGTCGCTATAAGCCTTGTGGATTTGACTTTTGGCTCAAAGATTCGGGGAGTAGTCCATCAAGAAAACTGCCTGCCTCAGTTTGGACATCCGAGCAGAGTCCCCGAACACACACATGTGCCCCTTTGTTCGAATATTTTTGTTTAAGCAAATAAATGAAGTCACTGCTGACCTTAAGAGTGACAGGGAAAAACCAATTAGCATAGAAAAACACGAGCTACCACCCTATCTCTTTCTCCTGGTGGTCGAACTGATTATTAGTCGTCGACATCTGGAGGTAAGGAAAGGATACAATGGATAGCTCGGATGCAGCTGGACCATCTGGATTTCACAGATGATGTAACCCTGCCATCCCATACGTAACAGATGGGGGAGGAGACGGAAAGTGTAGCATCTGCCTCCGCATCGGTAGAACTCAACATACACAAAGGGGAAAAGCAAGGTTCTCCAATACTACACAATATGAACCAATCAAACCACACTTGACGGGAAAGTTTTGGGGGATATAGAAACTTTGACCTTTCTGGGCAGCATCGCTGATAAGCAACGTAGATCTGCTGCAGATGTTAAGGCGCGGACTGGCAAAGCAAGTGCAGCATTTCTACAACTGAACATATGGAACTCAAAACAACTGTCAACCAACATCACAGTTACAATTTTCAATACAAATGTCAAGACGGTTCAACTGTGTGGAGGCGGAAACTTGGAGAACTACGAAATCAGCTGCCCAAACACTATCAGCATCAGCCAACTGTGGGACAGAACAAACTAGATTCCAATGGAGTAAGAAGCGCTGGAAGTAGATAAGACACTCATTTCGGAAAGCACCGAACTGCTTCACAAGTCAGGACCTCACTTGAAATCCGTGACACCGAGGGAAGAGATACAGACCAAAGAACACATTATGTCGAGAAATGGAGACAGGTATGAAAAGAATGAACACCGATTAGATAGAACTGGAAAAGAAAGCCCAGCCCACAGTATATTCGAAAATTCTGGTCGGTGGCCTACGCTCCATTACAGGTAACAGGTGTAAGTAAGATAAACATGAAATCAGTCAGTGTTCAATGATCAATCCCATTGTAACTTCATTAACAATCAGTTGATAAATAAACACACACACACACACACACGCATCCATGTACATAAAATATACATATATTTTATATTGTGAAAAGAAAAAAAAAGATATTGTAACAGACAAAATAAGCTCTTACATCAAAAATTTTACATCAAATAAATTAGACAAGTTAAATATCATATCACAAAAATGGTCATAATATGTATGTATGTGTGTGTGTGTGTAGGATTAGTTGATGAGGGCGAATAAAACATACTTGAAATGGGGATCGAAGTAACAATAACAACAAAAAGACAACAAAAGTAATGTATGTTTTTCCCCCAGTAGATGGATTACATGAGGAATGTGAAGGAAAAAAACAATTATAATCCCAGAAGTTTGCACCGTCACTTACATGTGTATAGTGTTTAGTGTATACATCAAGTGTTAACACAGAACACAACACATTTCTATGCATCTGGATATGTAGATTTGATATTCACAGTACACAAAGAAGCGAAAAGACAACACCAGATCAAGAGAGAGAGATAGACAGAGAAGTGACAATAAACAATTCATTCAGTGTGTACAAGAATGCGCCCAAACACAGGTGGACAGACTGGTTGGGCAGACGAACGAACGAACGAACGAACAAATCATGTTAGATAGAAAATAACAAAAAATCATTGCTGGTGTTATTTGCTCATAGCATAGAGCATAGAGTAGTATAGTGAGAGTATCAATATTTTTAGTAAAAAAAAATCCATAAAAACAATGATATTTACTATACATAGAAAAATAATTTTCAATAAATTTAGCAAATAAATAATGTTCAATTTTTTGTTAAACTCTAAACAACAACAACGAAGATAACCACAATAATAATAATAATAATAATAATAATAATGTGGAATGTGTGTTCAATGAAGTTGAACAAACTTCATTGATGATGATGATGATGACAAGTATGAATTAAAGAAATGAGGAAGATAGATAGAGAGAGAGATAGAATAGTGTGACAAAAAAAAAGACTCAATCTAATAACTTTCCAATCCAGTGAATATACGATTTAAATCTAAACTGGCTAATAGGCCTTCAATAAGAGTTAAACATCGACCTAATGCTTCGGAATAACGTGTTGCATCAAGTTTCAATTGAATATAGGCTTCAGGATAACGTATACATAATAAAGATGAAGCGGGTTCATTGAATGATCCATAAGGTGATCCAGTTGTGGATGTGGTTGTAGTTGGTGATGATGTCATAGTGTCAGGATTATCCGCCAGTAATAAATCAAATAAGTAGGAACGTGATGGAAGTGATTGCATAATAACCTATTGATGTGGGGAAAAAATAAACATTTCACATGAGAAAGAAAAAAAGAACATAACAAGTGATATCCTTGCTTTTCACTGGTCGTTCTGGTTTACGATAGTTTCCGGTGTACATTCATATATCAAGTTATACGTTGCAACTGACTGACTGTACGATTATTTGAACTAATACTTACACCGTTGTTAGTGACTTCATGAACTGGTTCCATATTTTAGTTTAACCACCCTCAGCTTTGTTTCAGTCTACTTCTCCTTCACAAAATACCATCGCCCGTCCAGGTCGTCAGCATTCTTCCAGTCCTAAACCAGATAGCATCGCCCGTTCAGGTAGTCGGCGATTGGGCATACACAATACATGTCCCAACAACCTCAAGTGATGAACATTCACCATGGAACAATGGGGTTAATGATAAAAGTTCTCAGCTTTCAATAAATCGATTTTTAAGCTTCAACATATACATGAGTTTAAGCAGCCGAGTAACAGTATCATTAGTCAATCTGGACATCTACATATTATGTAACTCTATGCAAAATATGTAAATTGTTAGTTTATGAAGTGGGTAACATTAGTGTTTTGTAGTTGAATATATATATAACGATTACGAATAACTGATCAATCAATGCTGATATCTCAATGATCTAGAGGTTAAGCGCTCACGTGTGAGATCGAAAGTCCTGGTTTCGATTCTCGTGAGCACGGATCGTGAATGCGCACTGTTGACAAAGCAGCTGTCAAGTGCTTCCAGGTTGCTAATACTGATCTGACAAGAATAGAAATCCATGATTTGAATGAATGGTATACAAAATATAGCTTTAAAATAGAATGATCAATTCTGTAAATTAATACTGACTTATAAACCTTAAGTCACGTACTGAATTATTTCAGTCAATTCAGTGTAGATCACGATCAATATTTTATAGTTGTCTGATCATAAACACATAAACATTGTGATACAAAGAAGCACCTAGATTTGTCAGCGGGCCTGAGTGTCCAAAAAGGAAGTAGGTGATTTCCTTAGAGGGCCACTTGCTGAGCTTTTGAGTCCGCTAATAAATTTCTTTCAGCCTACCTCTACATTAGATAACATCACTCGTCTAGGTAATCAGTGGTCTGGTATACGTAACCTAACCACCTCAACTGACAAACATTCACTACTTCATCGATTGATGTGCCATCCTTACCTAATACTCTTTTCCCAACCCCAGTATTGCTTACTCGGATGTCCCAGGATATACGAGCAATGTTTCGAAGACACCTATCAGTCAGTTAGTCAGTTACTACGTAGAAATTCGTACATAAGTTCAGGTTGACATACCGAATTAGCACAGAGACGCAACTGTAAGTTTAAATACCATAGTGGTAGCAGTGGTAGAAGTATTAGCAGTAATGCAGAAGATCACGGTTTGAAGATATGATTCGAGAAGTATAATTCAGTGAGATAACTTTAGAAACAGAAAGATAGAAGGATGAGGAATTCAGAAGGTTAGAATTTGAGAGAACACAATGAATGAATGCTGCTGGCGTCTCTGTGCTAATGCGGTATGACAACCTGAATTGATGTACGTACGTACGTACGAAGTTCTACGCTTTAATTAACTGACTGACTGTGTCATTGCAAACGATTCTGAGCCATGTCGTTCAAGGTCTCTAACCATCGGTTACTATTGTCTCGCGGACCCCAGCCAGGTAGCCTACATCTGACAACATGACTCAGTCCACTTGTCAGTGACTTCATGGATTTTTGCCATATTTTGGTTTGGACGCCCCTAGCTTTCTTCCGAACCTACTACTACACTACAAAACATAGCTCGCCTATGATCCTCTAATTTAATAGCCATATTTCACACCAGTACAGTGCAGAAGTGAACAAACTGCTGAGCAGTTAAACTCATCGTTTGATTAGCACAACAAATGATATCATTCATGCCTACACACACATTACAATTGTACAGATAAAATAAAAAAAACTGTCACACAATAAAATTCACGAAAAAGGCATACCATCTTCATCAAGTTCACTTGAATACATCTCATCTTTATTGATTGATTCATTTATTAGAAGAATGAAAAAAAATAAAAAAATCGCTCAAATAAACATCATCACTTACCATAGCCATACCTCGTATAGACCATGTATGAAAAGGTCGTAAACATCGAGTATATGCTTCATTGGCAATTGTAACAAGATTTATATCTGAATTCAATGTATAATTAATTGGTGTAGATTGTTGATCCGGTGAATGGAATAAATGATGAAGAAATTCTCTGACAAAATTTAACCATCTAAAATTTTTTAAAAAAAAGTGAATGAATAATAAAATTAAGAAAAAAATAAGTATTTTAAGTAGTTGAGTGTGTTGACCAGTACATTTATCTTACGAATTACCTATCAGTTCAGAAAAAACATGATGACTGACCATTATCTTACCACGGATACAGGAGACTTGACTGGCTTTTTTTGTCAACTTACATCACTTATGACGTAAGCGAGATATCCGTCTTTCGAGCTAATAACGAATCAACTTTTCAAATCATCAATCAGTCATTGTAAGACCATCATTAGAAACCTAAAAGCACTGGACAGCCGTTTCGTCATGGTACGGAACTCATCAGTGGCAGTGCGCATCCACGACTCCTGCACCTCGCAGGATTCGAACCCGGGACCTTTGGTATTGTGCGCGAACGCCTAACCATTGGACCACTGGGCTGCTATCCAACGGTGCTTCCAGGTTTCTAATGGTGGTCTAACTATGATTGATTGATGATTACAAATGTGTAAAAACACAAAACCTCCAAAACTCTGCCAGAAAACGAATCAACTGCACAGCAGTTTGCTTCGTCCTACTTTACAGGTGTGAAACATGATCACCAGAATTAGAGAATATTCATAAGTCACTAGTATTTGATTTTAGGTGACTTAGAAGTATTGATCGTATATCCTGAGACCACTGAGTAAGCAATACTGGAGTTTGGTTTAGCGTACTAGGTGAAGAGGTTAGAACGATGAATAAAACAGTGAATCTTCATCCGTTGAGTTGGTTGGAACATGTTTCATGCATGCCCAACCCCCGATTGCCTCGACGATCCATGTTTTGTGATGTTTGGGTAGGCTGGAAGAAATTTATTGGCAGACAAACTAAAACATGTCACAAATCAATGAAGTCACTGACTGAGTCATGTTGGGGTCCCCATAGCGATAGTAATCGATAGTTAAAGACCTTGAATGACATGACTCGAAATGGTTTTCGATGGCGTAAATTAAGTCATTCCTCATCACTCTAATATTTCCTTTTTGTAGTTTGTTTTACTGAATTATACTTCTTGGATCATATCTTCGAATCCCAATCTTTTCCATTACCACTGATATTTCTACTATCTATACTACTATGGGATTTAAATTGACAATTTAATTTCTGTGCGTATGTGGAACGTCAACTTGAACTGCTGTACGTACGTATGTACGAAGTTCTACGTTGTTACTGACTGACTGAATTAATTAACTGAGAAATTCCCAATAAATATTCGAAAAAAAATCAAACAAAACAAAGAATAATCAACTCAGAGTTATGAAGATTATTGAGTTTTATTGAAATTACGAAACAATCATTGTTAGATCGTCATTAGAAACCTGGAAGCATTGGATAGTCGTTACCAGTGGAGTGGAGTTCAATCCTGTCGGGTATGAAACACTTACCCACCGAAGACAATGGGTGAGCTTGCACAATGCCTTGGATCAATTAAAGTTACTCATTAACAACTATTGAATACCGGCTCAGTGGTCAACAAGTTAAGTATCCCGACAAGTAGTGGGAGTCGTAGATGTACACTGCCACTGATGAGTCCCACCCATACCAGGATGAAACAGTCATCTAATACTTCCAGATTTCTTAATAACAGTCTAACAATGATTATTTTTTTTTATAACTTCAATATAAATTATCTAAGCAAACAACTTCATCATTAGGCTTATATATAAGTTCATCATTATTTCACTATGTCATCATTGTTAACGAAGAGGTCAAATTACAGAAATAATAAAAAAAAAAACATAAGGTCTATTGTATGCACTACTAATGAATTAGACAATGTTTATTTTGTTATTCATTTAATTAATGCACGACAGTGAGTGTTATTTGTAAAATTGAAAAGAAAAAATAGAGTGAGAACAATGTCACCTTATGATCAATACATTCATTGAATAGTTAGTTAGACAATAATCAATCGTGTGAATACAATGCATAGTGAAAGAAAAAAATTTTCTTCTTGACAATGCAAATATCAATAATACTACTAATACTAGTAAACCATGTTGTCTGATTATACTCGGGCAATAGAAGTCTATCTAAAGTTTGTGCTGCTGATGATGATGTTGTTCAGAAGAAGAACAATGAAACCTCCACAACTAAAACAACATCCCCTGCTCAGAGAGAACCAAACACCAACACCATCATCACTACAATCATCCATCTGAGCTACAAATTTTCTCCACCATGTCAAAGTTGAATATACGCACAACTCTTTTGCATAAATAAGTTAGATTATTTGGAGTTGATCTAAAACATGGCACAAATACATGAAGTCGCCGACAAGTGGACTGAATCATGTTGGTAGATGTAGATTACCTGGTTGGGGTCCGCGAGATGATAGTAAACGATGGTTAGAGACTTTGAATGACAGCGCTGAAAATCATTCGCAATGGCGCCGGTGCATTCATTCTTTGTGTTCTCTTAAATTCTAATCTTTTGAATTGCTCATTACCTTTATCTTTCTCTTTCTAAACTTATTTCACTGAATTATACGTCTTGAATCTTCAATCTCTAATCTTATTCATTAACGCTAATATCTCTGCTACCTTTACCACTAAGGGATTTGAATTGACAATTACATCTGTGTGCTAATGTGGTATGTCAGCGTGAACTGATGTACGTACGTACGTACGTACTGAGTGACAGATTGAATTGGCCTCAGCTATGTACAGATTTAGTAATCTAACAAACACCATAAGTTTAATGTATAAAAGAGAGAGAATGAAAAAGTTCCATTTGTTTTATTATGATGTTGATTATCTCTATTCAGTAAGAGAAAGGAGGGCATCGTGTTATTTATGGATTATGTGACTCTTTCTCTCATTCAAGCTGAAGTATATTCTCATATTATGACACTGAAATTTTACTGGTATTTAGGGGTTTTGTTTTTGATTTAACTGTAAAAATAACAAATAATTTTGATGATAGGGTTATAGAAATTATCGAATTTCATTGATATCATGAATCGATCAATGTTAGAAACCTGGATGCACTGGATGGTCGTTTCATCCTCGTTCGGGATTCATCAGCAATGCATTCACAGAACCTTCGGTCTCGCGCGTAAAATTGCTTAACCTCTAGATAACTGAGCTGGTATCCAATAGTGTTAATGTTTAACTTCAATCGATCTACGGTAGTGTACGACCATCATCCATTTTCTTAGGCGGGTAAATGTCTAACACGAAACACGACTGAAATCCACTGCGGACAGCTGCACACTAGAACATCGAGAATTTACTCACAAACCTAGTCACTAGTGAGTACACTACAGTTGTCATGATAGAGGTTTGGAGATTGTTGAGTTTCATTGAAATCATACACACATCTGTGGGCATAAACTTAACTTTGAATCATTATTCATTCAGTCTCTAACAATCAGTTACTTATTGTCTCGCGGACCCAAATCAGGTAGTCTACGCTTACTAACATGGTTCAGTCCAAATGTCAGTGACTTCATGGATTTGTGCCATGTTTCGGTTCGGACACCTGAAGTTTTCTTCCAGATTACTCCTACACCAGACAACATCATTCATTTAGGTAGCCGGTGGTTAAGAATACGAGAAACATGTCAGTCAGTCAGATGCAACGTAGAACTTCGTACGTAAGTACATCAGTTCATGTCGCCATACCAAATTAGCACAGAGGTGTCATTGTCAATTGAAATCCATTAGTAGAAAAGGTAGTAAAGGTATTAGAAGTAATCGGAGAGGTTAGGATTAGAAGATATTATTCAAGAAGTATGATTAAATGAGAAAAGTTTAGAAAGTCAAAACTAGAGGTGTTGAAGAATCCAGAAGATTAAGATTTGAGAGAACACAAAGAATAAATGCACCGGCGCAATCGCAAACGGTTTTGAGCCATGTCATTCAGGGTCTCTAACCATCGATTATTATCAATGTGTCTCTAAGACACCTATGGTCAAATACTAGTCATCATCCTCCATCTTTACTGGGCCATGTATCACAGGCATATTGTAAAACGAAGCGAACTACTGGACAGTAAACTCGTTGTTCGGTTAGCAGATAGATAGATATCTCGCTTACACGTTAAAACCGATACAAATCGGCAATTCATTCGCTATTCATCTACATTATATACTCATCTAATAGTAGAGAAACGTGCGTTTATGTCGCACACACTTGTACTAACTGGTTACAGTAAGTATCAATGAAACAACATGACTGTGCCTATTAAAGGCCCTACTATGGTGTTGTGTTGAAGATAGACACAGTAACAATCATGCATTCAGTCAGTCATTCAGTTACAACGTAGAACTTCGCACGTACGGACGTACATCAGTTCAGGTTGCCAAACCGCATCAGCACAGAGACGCAACTGTCAATTCAAACCCCATAGTGGTAGAGATAGTAGAAGTATTAGCGGCAATCAAAAAGATTATGGTTCAACGATATTACTCAAGAAGTATAATCCAATGAAATAAATTTAGAAGGAAAAAGATAAGGGTAGTGAGGAATTCGGGAATTAGGATTTGAGAGAACACAAGGAAAGGATGCACCTGCACCATCGTAAACGGTTTCAAGCCATGTCATTCAAAGTCTCTAACTATCGGTTAATATCCCAACCAGGTAGCCTAAATCTACCAAAATGGCTCAGCCCACTTGTCAGTGACTTCATGGATTTGTGTCATGTTTTAGTTTGGCTCCCCCTACCATTCTTCCAACCTACTCCTACACCATAAGACATAGCTCGACAAGGCAGTCGGTGGTTGGACATACGTAACATATCTCCCAACCACCTCAACTGATGAAGTTTCATTACTTCATCTATTGATCGGCTATCCCTATATTTAGAAATCGAGTACTAGGTATTATCATGCATTATATATATATATATATATATATATATATATATATATGTATATATATGTATATATATATAGATATTGTATAATATAACATTGTCAATGATCTAGTTAAATAGTTTGTTATTTTTCCAAAATTAACTGTTGCTTAAACCATGTTGTCTTCAATTCTTCATCATACATAACTAATCACTTACAACTGTGATATTGTTCTTTTTTTCTTCTGTCAATAACATTCAACTTGATTCGCAATCATTCTCTCTTTCTCTCTCTCTCTCACACACATGTATAATGTGTATGTACTTCGTATTAATGCTGTCAATGAATTCCACTTAATAAATTGTATTCATGAAAGAAACAATTATGATTTTAATGAGATCTTACACAACAGTAAAATACCGATCATGTATTCATCAATGTGTGTGTGCTTGTGTGTGTGTGTCTGTAGGTGTAGATGTATACATGATCTAATGATAATTGACTATTGACAGGGTGTACAATAATTATTGAACCTTTTGTTATAATTAAATTCAACATTTTATTAATCTGTCACATACTTTCTCTGCTGTTTTTTTGCAACAAAAAATAAACACATCAAATTGAAATTGAAATTTCAGCTCTAATTCGCATCGATCATCATCATTTATTCATTCATTCATTCATGTGGTTGATATGTGTGTGACAGTAAAGCGAAGAATGTGTGTCTGTGAGTGTGTGTGTGTTTCAGGGTTGGATGAATACTACTGGGGTGACGATAAAGATGACAATAATCAATAAGTTGGTACATTCGTCATTTTGGTGATTGATTATTGAATATTATTAAATGAAGATCAGTGAGAACAACATATTACACACTTTGGTGTGTGTGCGTGTGTGTGTGTGTATTTTATTCATTTGAAACGAAAGAATAAAAAAAATATCAAACGAGTAACATTAATTGAAGTTCAACACTGGGATTAGATAGAATGAGATGAGTAGCAGTGAAACTTCATCAGTTGAGATGCTTTGAGACATGTGTTACGTGTTTGCCCAACCACCGGCTACCTCGACGAGATATGTTTTGTGATGTAGGAGTAGGTTGGAAGACAGCTATGGGTGGCCAAAGTAAAACATGGGACCAGTCTATGAGTCAGTTAGTAAGTCAGTTACAATTTAAGAATCCGTACGTACGTAAATCAGCTCAAGTTGACATACTTCATTAACTCACAGAGATGAAATTGTCAATTCAAATGCCATAGTAGTAGAAGCAGTAAAAGTATTAACAGTAATCGGAGAGATTAAGCTTCAAGGATTTTATTCAAGAAGTAGAATCCAGTGAAACAAATTTGAGAAGACAAAGATAAAGGTGATTTGGAATTCAGAAGATTATAATTTGAGAGAACACAAAGACTGGCTGGATACATCTATACCATTGCAAACAATTTTGACCAATGCCATTCAAAGTCTCTAACCATCGACTACTATTGTCTATCGGATCCCAGACCAAAACATGGCACAAATATATAAAGTCACTGACATCTTGACTGAGCCATGTAAATAGATGTCGACTACCTAACTGGTGTGTTTCCGCAAAACGACAGTAACCGATTGTTACAGACTTTGAATGACATGGCTGGAAATCATTCACAATGATGCAGGAGCATCCTATCTTTGTGTTCTCTCAATTCCTATTATCTATGCTAATATGATACGGCAACTTGAATGTACGTAGCACGTTCTACGTTATTGCTAACTGGCTGAGTATGAAGCAGATATACAGTGGAGTGTTGGGTTCAGGTGCATGGCACAATCAGAGTGTTTTAAAAACTAGAGGACAACCAAAAGTTTTGGCTTGTTTCGCAAAATAGAAATGTAAATCTAAGATTTACCACACAATTCATTAATAATGAACTGATCTATCTGATCATTAATAATAATAATAATCACGTTCTCTCCAGACAGACAGACAGATAGATACAACGCAGAATTTCGTACGTAAGTACATCAGTTTAGGTTGACATGCCCCATCAGCACAGAGACGCAACTGTCAATTCAAATCCAAGAGTGATAGCAATAATAGAAGTATTAGCAGTAATGCAGAAGATTAGGGAGCGAAGATATGATTCCAGAAGTATAACTACTCAGTAAGATAAAGGAGAAAGGTAGAGATGATGAGGAATTCAGAAGTTTAGAATTTCATAGAACACAAAGATTGGATACACCTGCGCCATTGCAAACGATTCTGGGCCATGTCGTTCAAGGTCTCTAACCATCGATTACTATCATCTCGCGGATCCCAACCAGGTAGTCGACACCACCAACATGACTCAGTCCACTTGTCAATGACTTCATGGACTTCTGCCATGTTTTGGTTTGGCCGCCCCTAGCTTTCTTCCAGCCTACTCCTACACTGCAAAACAGCTCGTCGCGACAGTCGGTGATTAGTCATACGTAACACATGTCCCAACCACCTAAACTGATAAAGTTTCAACACTTCATCTATTGATTTGCCATTCCTACCTAGAACTCGTTTCCTAACGACAGCATTGCTTATACGGTTGTCCCATGATACATGAGCAATGCTTCGGAGACATCGATGATCGAAGACTAGTAACCTACGGAAGTCCTCTACTCTTAACGGCCAAGTTTCGCATCCGTACAGTAGGACGGAGCGAACTGCTGCACAGTACACTCGTCCTTTTGGTTAGCAAGTGGATATCTCGCCTGCGCCATAGGTGACGCAGGTTGGCAAAAGCCAATCGAGCCTTCTGTATCCGTGCTGAGATTTCGTCAGTCACCAGACCATCAGCACTGATGAGACTCCCCAGATAAGTGAAGCGGTCTACACGTTCGACTACTTCACTCCCTCTCACTAGTTCAGGTGCCGACATTCTCTCCAATCATACATGTACATTTCATGAAAATTAGTACAAAATATACTCACCTACATAACCATAAAATAGACATATAAACAGAATTATTATTATTATTATGATTATTGATATTGTTATTGGTATTGTCTTGTACTGTTGTTCCATTATGTTTCATTTCATAACGTAATAGATCACCTAAACTGAGTTGAGCTTTTTTAAATAAAACATTACAATGATTATTAGTGATATCATGATTTGATTTATTGTTTTCGACCAATGAAGTTTTATTCAATTCATCGATAATGGTAGTAGTAGTAGGAGTAGTAGGAGTAGCATTATCAGTAGTATTATCAGTAGTACGATTATTGTTCATATCTAATGTGGTACAATGCATTTCTACATGATATTCAATACAATTTAAATAATTCAATAAACAATGTTCCGCTTGTTTTAATGCAACATAAATATGTGTATGTGTCGGCGTTGTAGTAGTTGGACAAGATTTATTATTGACTATTGTTGAATGAGTCTGATGTGTTGGGTTGAATCGATCAAGAAAATGTAATAAACATTTGGATGCTTTGACAAATTCCAAAGCTGATAAATAATCACCAGGTAGTTTGATTTCATCATTGTCTGGATTGGATTGTGTTGGTAGGGATGGTCTGATGTCTTCAAAACTGTCAGTAGAATACAAGAAAATAACAATAATAATGATGATGATAAAAAAATATCAAACAATAAAACAGAGTGGTTAGACATTTCAGAAACTCCACGTGGAACCCCCTGTAAGGCTACACCCGGTCTCAAGCCCGGATAAAGAAGGGGTTGGGCATGGCTTTGGCGACCCCATCCCGTAGAAGAAAAGTAACTCGCTAAAAAAACCATTAACCAGAAAAAATAATTCAAACTATTTAAACTCAGCCCTAGGAGTTGCAAGATCTTCATTTAAAAGAGTTATGACGTCTCATGATGAAGGCCGAGTTCTTTCGGAAGTCACGAGGCTGACTGATAGGTTCGTCACTAAGTATGTTTGAAACTATTACGGGTCCAGCTTAGTCGATAAACGAGAACGAGACAATGAACCAGTGTTTAGGTAGGCTACCTTGATCCGAAACGGCTAAAGAGAATTCTTGATATAAAGTAGAAAGTGCATTCTACAAACACTCAGCAAGTACAATGCAATCAAGCACACAAATCTCGTTTATTTATACATCATAGAAACGTTCTTGGGTCAGTCACAAAAATAGCACACCAAAATACACAGCAGCCAATCACAGCCATGGATTTTCCTAGTGGGAAATGAAATCTCACGGTCAACTGATCAGCCCATGCTCGCGAACGTAAAATCCAAAATAAAGGCATTTATCAAGCGAGTTCTGGGGATCTAACGTCCCCAACACTGATGCACCTTCGGACAACCAGAGCAACCATTAATTTAGGTACATAAAATGTTCGTACAGTGTGAGAGAACGGAAGAATCATTCAAGTTGCTGTAGAAATGGAAAAGATACAACCTGGAGGTGCTCGGAATCAGTGAAACACATTAGACATAGGTTGTACATTTAAGACCGACTTCGGTCAGACACCAATCCAGCAACAACTTGCTGTGAAGGAAATCAAACCAAATTGCAGATGATAAAGGAATCAAGAAGAAGCGCTGGAAGTGGATAGGATACACATTATGGAAATCAACCAACTGCGTGACAAGACAAGACCTACTATTATGTGGCGAGAACAGCTTCCTGACGGACTTGATTTCGTATTAATTACATTCAAACTCAGAGACGTTTAGTGGCTGTATTGAATTCGAAGTAGGGTTTACAAATTTAGAGGCCTCCAGTTTGGTCGAACGATCGAGTATGCTATGAAATAAATCTCCCCTTCATTTTCCATATATCATACTTAGACGAACCCCGTTTGTGCAACGGCAGTAATAAGAAGCCGAATTCTAACTTTTGTGTTGGTTGATAGTGCAATTGCAGAAATGCTGCCCCTGCGTTGCCGACCCACACCTTCATATCTGCATCAGATCAACCGTGCCGCTCAATTATGTAAAGATTTCTACATCCTCCAAAGCTTCTCCATCAAGTATGATTTGGTTGCTGCATGTTGTTTAGTATCGGAGGAGCTTGCTTGTTCCATTGTGTATGTTGAGACCTACTGCTGCAGCTACACTGGTCGTCTTCTCTTGCATTTGTTGTTGCGTGTGCAATAGAAGAAGCAGATCATCTGGGAAGTCTAGATCGTTCAGCTGCATCCTAGCTCTCCACTGTATACCGTGCTTCTCCCAGATGTTAATGTCTTCACATTTAAGTCGATCACCAGGAAAAAGAGAAAGGTTGAGAATAAGCAATCTTGCCTTACACTAGTCTTCACTCGGAACCAGTCTGTCAGCTGTACTCCATGTACAATTTTGCTGTTCACTAGACAAGGACTTACTTGACATAAATAGCATTCGTCACAACCCACCCACCCAATTAGTCGACCAATAATTAAATAAGCTAACATTATTTAATAACAGAAAATTGTATAATGCGGAAAAAAAACATTGACTTACCTATATTCTAACGTAGAAAAGAAAGTTTGATATTTTCGTGTAGCGTTGAAATGACGACGATTCAATGATGAATGTGTATGTGAATTTCGTAATTTCGAATCATTTGTCATCAATGGGGAATGAAAACCACTGTTACGGAATAAAATGAAGAAAACAAAAACATAGTGAAGAATAAGCAACACACAGTATGAGGAGGATTTGTGAAGACTGTAGTATTATCACAGTTGTAATCATGAACTGATTGTAGCTAGACTATCATCATCATCGGAGACCTAGAATCATTGGATAGCTGGTTCGTCTTAGTAAGGGATTCCCCATCCGACATGCAAGAATCGAATCAAGGACCTTGGAGCTCGCGAGTGAATGCTTAACCTCTAGATTAGTGAATTAGCACCCAAATAGTGTTAATGTCTCTAACTCCAATCAGTGCACTCTCTTGTGCACAACATTCATCCATTGCCTGCAGCACATAACTGTCACTTACACGACATAGATTGAACTCTAATGGTCACGTCTTTTCACTAGCGCTTCAGAAATACATCATGGAGCTAGTAGTGACTAGTAAGCATATGATTTTAGAGATTGTATTATTTTCACGAAATAATGGTTCATTGCTTGCAGGCTACCAATGAGATGATCTAGCCATGGTCATTTTGTGAATTCAATTATGAAAAGTAGTATAGATTAATCAGTAAATTTAAAAATGTTTAGAAAAAAACAATTAATATGATTATTTATATTTATATATAAATAATCATATTATATATATATTTATTTAGATTATAACGGCTACTATTGTATGGTGGTTATTAATTGTAATGTGGCTTTTATAAGTAGTATACACAGAGAAGAGTGTCGCCAAGAAGCTACTACTAGAAAGGAGAGTTTATATAGCACAATTAGAGTATTTTGAAAACTGGAAGAAATGTGACAGAAGAAAGTTCAAAAACTTGTTTGCGCTGCATACATAAGATGTCTGAAGATTATGTGTACATAGGTTGTAGATAAACAGTGTCTTCGTCATATATATATATATATATATATATATATATAGGACCGTTTCGTTCTGTTATGGGACTCATTAGTAGCAGTGCGCATTCACGACTCCTGATTTCAAATTAAAACTACGATCTCCATAGTACACTACTGCAAAATCAAAAAATATGCTCAATAGTGACTAGCTTCATGAGGAAATTCTCACAGTTACACTAAGAAGACCTAACCACTGGAGTTTAAACCTGTCGGGTGTAGGCAGTAACTATTGAAGACAAGTGGGTGAGGTTGCACACATAATCCCTGGATTGATCAGAGTTAGATATTAAGACAGTTGGATAAGTGGTCCGGAGATTCGCACACAAGACCGAAGGTTCTGGGTTCGAATCCTGTGAGTGGCAGGGGTCGTTGATAAGCCCTGCCACTCGTGAGTTACACACAAAAACGAAACGGCTGTCCGGATATATTTACATATATATATTCCATCCGATCATGGCTTCAGCATACGTTAACACTGCGATTGTTCAACTGTGAAGCAGTCACTATCATTTTACATAACATCATCATTGCTTACCTGATGTAGAACAAGTAAGCTATTCCATTACTCTACAAGTATTTATATCAGTTAATTTTCCTATTTGAAATGTATATGTGCAAAACATCTACTGATAATAAATATAGGCAGCTTTCTAGTACATTAATTAATTAATTTTCGCAATAACATTTATTTTCATAAGTACAAAATGGCCTGTTATTATTATTATTTTTTTCATTTAAACTTTCAAAGTTCAAAAGAATTTATACGAATTAATAGAAAAAAAAACATGAGATGCGATGAGATGACAAAGTGGATGTTTAAGCGTATTTAAATGCAAAATGTAAACCAAATACAATAGAACTTCATCAGTTAGAGATTTGTTATGTAATTACTTAGTTGTTAGTGTTGGGGATGTTAAATCAGTCAGTTGCAACGTAGAACTACGTACGTATGTACATAAGTTCATGTTGCCAAACCACATTATTAGCACAAAGACGCAGATGTCAAATCAAATCCCATTGTGATAAAGATAGAAGAGGTATTAATGGTAATGAAGAAGACTAGGGTTCGAAGATATTATTCAAGAAGTATAATTAAGTGAAATAAGGTTAGAAAGACAAAGGTAGAGGTGCTGACGAATCCAGACGATTAGGATTTGAGAAAGCTCAAAGAATCGATGCACCTGCGCCATTGCAAACGGTTTTGAGACATGTCGTTCAAGGTCTCTAACCAGTGGTGACTTTTGTCTCGCTGACCCGAACCACGTAGTCTACATCTACCAACATGACTCAGTCCACTAGTCAGTGACTTCATGGATTTCTGCCATGTTTTGGTCTGGCCGCCCAGGGGATGTTAGATCTCCAGAACTCGCTTGATAAATGCCTTATTTTGGATTTCACGTTTGCGAGCACGGGCTGATCAGTTGACCTTGAGATTTTATTTCCCACAAGGAAAATCCATGGCTATGATTGACTGCTGTATATTTTAGTGTGCTATTTTCGTAACTGTCCCAAGGAAGTTTCTATAATGTATAAATAAACGAGAGTTGTGCGCTTGATTGCATTGTGCTTGCTGGGTGTTTGTAGAGTATACTTTCTACGCTATATCAAGACTTCTCTTTAGCCGTTTTGAGTCAGCGGATCTAGGTATCTTATCTGGACGCTGGATAGAGTGGGCTAAAGCAGTGATGATAAGCTGTGCTGTAACAAGTGCTCAAGGGTCAACACAACACTTATTGTGGCATGAGCATGAAGGAGTATATCGTCAATGGACAACTTCTTTATTAAGCTGATTTGACTACGTGATAGTCATTTAGTACAATATATACCCTTGGACTACGTCCTGGACTAAACGCATCTATACCAATGTGTGTATGGGAGAATATGGATCTCGGTCAATGCACTCTATATGTATATACATATGAGATATACTTGTGGGTGGAAACTTCTATGCCTATGTGTATCTATGAAATGAGAAGGCCTTGGCTATCCCTTCCATATCTACGTGTAACTCATACTAGCGACGGCGCCCATCTATGCATATATGTGTATCACTAGAATGCGTCTCGAACAGATGTGTTTTATATATGCGTATAAAGCATACTCAGGAGAAGCCTCAACGTTCCAAAAACTAGTATGCATCCATTATTGCTCATCAGTGCTTTTAGTTACTCTAAAAGTTTTCGAATATGGTAGAAAGTACAACTATACTAAAGTTCACTGATATCGCCTCAGTCTGTTCCATCCACTGAAGAGTGCAGTAAAATCATCTGCTTTAAACATATATATAAAAGCAGGTTATGGTGAAAATGTTTGCTTGTATGCATAAAAAAAAATCTTGTAAAGTGTCCATCTATTTTTATTGGTATAGTCGCAATAAAATATTTCTATCTTTGTTTTATGCTTTTCTTATTCAGAAATATTCCAGTTCTTTATGATAGCTCTTTTCTTTTCACTTGGAAGAGCCTATCAGCTTTTGCTTTTTGTTGAGACAAGGTTAACTGACTAAATATCTATTACTTTAATATTGAATCCTAACTGTAAGCATAAATTTTAAACTTTACAATTTAATCGCCTTGAAGCAAGGATACTACCCTTAAATCGGGTCTTAAATGGTCGAAAAATCATTACTCGATATGAGACAAAGGGTGATGAGAGTTTTTGAGCTTATTCGCATCAAGCTGGACTGCATCTCTTGCTATCCAATGCCAGACGATGTATAAACCATAAGATATATTGCTGTTATATAGAGCTGAAGGTTTCCTATGAGACCAAAGGTTCGTTGTGAACATTGTGGATGGTTTGGCATTTACTTTGGCAAGTTTTACTAATAGTCCATATAAAAAATTTGATTTGCGGACTGACCGATTTCATTGATACTGATGATTGTTTTGCAACATTCCCGAGGACGATTGTCATTGGGACGCGGGAATGCATATCACCATTGCTAATAATAATGAGGTTGTAACAGTCATGTAAGTAGGATGGGTCTAACTGACCCGTTCAAGCTGTGCATATTGATCGACGACGCGATCATGGATCGGAAATAATCACTATATATGTACTAGTGTATATAAGTGGTATGAATGGTCCATCACGATATGAGACACCTGTGTGGTGGTTGCATCACCGGATTGAGCTGTATCTGTTTAGGTCGTAGTATTAACACCTGGACAGTCTCCTTGGTTCTCCTGAAAGCCAATGTGAAATTACCTTTGCCAACGGAGAGTGAATTTATATAAAAATCAATGACTTTTATCAAAGCGATTTAACCATGCCTGATTAGCTCGTGTCTTTTTATAGCTCCGCTGTACTACATTCTCTTCAAGACATGAAATCAAAGAATCAAAGAGTTAATATTACACACGCTAATTTAAATGTTTACCTCATAGTTGGTGAATGTAAATTACCAATATCCACATTATTATTGTTACTACTAAAACATGATGTATTTTGAAGCACAACATTCGAACTTGTTGTGTCCAGCATCGATCCAGTTGGTGTGACAATTGAACTTAACCATGGTGCTTGAGCATGACTCAATATCATTAATTCATCCAAAGCAATTAGGAAAGTTGAACAAGATGCATTTAGCATACCAGTCAATTCATCAATACGCTAAAATTGAATATTGAAAACATAAATAGTAATCAGTCAAAAAAAGATGAATTCATTAAAATAACTGTTCGTTTTTTAAGAGAAAAACAAAAACATGTGACTTCAATATCTGTAGTTGAATTGACAATAGCACACTTCTTTCATTCACTCAATAAGTTAAAAAAAAATGATAAGCTACTTGTATCGGATCACTTTCATGTGTAATTGTCAATTCACTCGCTCTTGTATAAGTGGGTAGTAGGTAGGTAGGTAGGTGTGTAAATTAGTTGATGTACATTCTGTTTGATTAAAATTATTTGATATGATACGAAGGAAGAAATAATAAGCAAGTCTAAGCAACATTTGATGAACAACATGCCATTTAATTAAAAAAAAAACATGAATTCTTCGAAAAAAAAATTGTCTGGTACAACTAAGAATGGAGAATGTCTGCTTTCTCTCTCTCTCTCTCCCTCTCAAAATACTCGCATATGACCATGTTTATATATAGCCAGTACCAAGGATGTCCTGTTCAGTAGTGCCTTCAGGTGGCAGAGAGGTTGTTGACCGAATTCGAGAGGACGATAAGTGATTGTCCGACCAGTAGTTGATACGTATAGAAGAATTCACCTAAGGCAGTAGGGAAACTGTGATGGAACGAATGGCGTATGAACCTATTGTCGGTCACCGGTTAACATGGGATTCCATTTCCTTACGTTGCCCCACACTTTTATAGATTAGAAATATAGGTTGAAGTCTCGGGGAGTGGCCTAATTAAAAAGCCGCCTACCTTGGTTGAAGCAACGGGGCAATATTTTAGTCAACCAATTCACAAAACTAATAATTTGTGTGGAGCATAAACGCTTAGGTCCCTCTCTTTATACTACTGTTTATGTGTATAAATACATAACATCCCAACGAATAAATTTATTGATTTTGTACATTCACTAGCGTAACAGTTCACTTGTTGCTTCTCTCTTCTCTATAACTCTTAGTGTAAACTTTAATAATTGTCTATCTGATATTTTATTTCTGCCTAGATTATTTTACCAATCGATGTAATAGCGCGGTCGGTTGAGATAAAAAAAAAATAGAAAAGAAACCGCAACAACACGAAAAGGAGCCGTCTTTCTTCATGAAATTCGTAACCTGTTCACTTAAACGTATTATTTATTATGATTTAATCACGTACATATATTCATACTGAGTGCCATTCGATTCAAATCTCATAGTAGTATAGGTAGCAAAAGTATTAGAAGTAATCGGAGAGATTAGGGTTCGAAGATGTTATTCAAGAAGCATAATTCAGTGAGATCATTTTAGAGAGAGAAAGACAGAGGTGATGATTAATTCAGAAGGTCACAATTTGATAGAACACAAAGAGCAAATGCACCGGCGCCATTGCAAATGGTTTCGAGCCATATCACTTATGGTCTCTAACCATCGATTACTACTATCATCTCGTGAACCCCAAGCAGGTAGTCGACACCGACCAACATGACTCAGTCCACTTGTCAGTAACTTCATGGATCTTGCTGCCCCTAGCTTTCGTCCAACCTTTTCCTATATCGCAAAACATAGCTCGACGAGGCAGTCAGTGGTTAGGCATACGTAACACATATCCCAACCACCTCAACTGATGAAATTTTATTATTTCATCTGCTGACCTGCCATTCTGGCCTTACATAAATTATTAGATTTGTGAATGTGATAAGATATTACCAGACTGACCAAACCAAAGCAAATGGTTTTTTAGGAGGCCACTCCTCGAGCCTTCAACCTACATTTCTAATCTATAAAAGAGTGGGGCAACGTAAGGAGATGCAATCCCATGTTAACCGGTGACCAACAGCAGGTTCATATGCCATTCGTTCAATCAGCACCATAGAGCTAATATGAACCAATGGTTTGGAATCAGATTTTTCCAATTCGCCTAATTGGATTCCTCCGCCAATCCAGTTAAAGCACAGGGCAGACACTCGCTTTTCGTCATCTCGATTCGGTAAACAACCTCCTCGTCATGAAAAGGCACTGCTGCGTAGACCGACCCTGGTAGTGTCTATGTAGGCGTGGTTATATGAGAGTAATTCGAGAGAGGAAGCAAACTCTCCTCACTCTTGATAGTATCACGCCATTTGGACAATTTTATACGTAACCGTCGTACATAAGAACAATTTCTAAAAATTATTATACATATATAACGATTTGATTCACACATATAAGTGATGACATTTATCTTCCTTTCCAATATCAAAAAAATGAATAGCAATTGAAAAGAAACGGATAGGAAGACTCAGGATAGAGTTGGTTGGAGAATCCTGGTTGGCATTCTATGCTCCATTAGAGATAACAGACGTAAATAATGCAATTCAATATAATGGTATAGGCTTCAAATATCATGATAATCATCCAATCCAAAATTGTCCAATCATCGTATTTCATGTCGCTAGTTAGAAATTCTATTGGACTGTAACCGGATGAAATCTCTTCAGCTTTTTGAAAGTCGTTAAAAGGTTTGTCGTGATTCATGGGGGCGTTCTCAAAGCCTTCCCTTTTTTGAAATCTTCAGGGTATGATTTCCTTCCTGCAATCGACTTGTAATCTCAGCCATATGCCAAGTTTTCGACACATTTCCCCCAATCGTCAAGTTCTTTTAACCTGTTCTCTCCTGAATCTCCCATTTCCCTTCTTATTTACACTCCCTTGAAAACTGTCTACCAATACCTTAAACCAGAGTCTGTCTTGTATGATTCCTGTCCGCTTATGTCTTCTGTATGTACCACCGCTATACCAAATCAAGTATAATACTTTACTTGTTCTTCTCTCAATTATTTTAGCTCATCATTTAGTGTTATTGTGATATGATTAGATAAGTACCCTTTCTTCCAAATGAAAACTATGAGTAGATTCGTTCTAACTTCTGTCCATTCGTCCAGAGGGGCAGCATGTTGTTGAAGGTAGTTCAAATTCTTCTCCTGAACATGCACTCTGATGGAGACTTCCATTTTAGTATAGAAGAATTGGGGGAAGGGTAATTCGACCGGATGTCATAAATGTAATAAGATACCTACTAAGTGGACTACAGCTTTTGAATGAAAGGGTTGTGCAGATTGTTGAGTTACTGTATTGAAGGAAGTCATGAATCGATCAATGTCAGACCACCATCAGAAAGAAATCTGAAAGCACTAGACGGCCATTTCATCTTGGTATGGGACTCATCAGTGGCAGTGCACAATTCACAACTCCTTCAACTCGCATGATGAAAACTTACTTCATTCAAAAAATAATTAGTTGTTAGGATATTCATCCAATATCCTAAGAGAATTATTGGTCAATTCCTATCGGTTAATTCCTACTGGTCAATTTTATGGTCGTCCTAGATATCAATGTCACGTGCTCCAATGTTATTTGTTATTGGTTGTCCTGACTATCAATGTCACTTGAAATGTTGCTTCCCATTGGTCGTCTTAACTGTCAATGTTACATACTTCAATGTTGTTTCCTGTTCGACCTAACTGTATAAATACACATTATCTGTAACGTTTTATGGACCAGGACCCGGTCCCGGATCCCTAGTCCAGGTCCTGATTCTCTTCTAGACTCATATCTCGTACTTTCTGGATGCTTGTAGAATACAGGTTCTACTTCATATCAAGTCTTCTATTTGTTTCTCAATAGGGGGGTTGGGATAATCAGATTTGAGTAGCATATCGTGTCGCCGGATCGTCGATCCTCGCTCACGTTTTCCAACTAAGGTAAACACTCCTAATAGTTCAAGCCTTTCAAATCGACATGGTTTACGTGCAGGCATAACAGATGATTATCATTTTTGTAAAATAAAATAATTTTTTTCTTAAAAAAATAATAAAACACTTACATCCATATCTGGTATGGTGCCTTCTTTCAAATGACTTTGAATCTCTTTCACTTGTTGTACCATCAAATTATGATAAAGGCGTAATTCTGACCGATGATTATCGATTAGTTGAGTTTGTGACGGTTCTAAATTAGAATAAAAATAAAAAAAGAAGTAAAATACCTCTTTTTATCTTTTTGTTTTTGTTTGTATTATAATATATGAAAAAAAAAATAGTTCAATAGTCAATGAATAGATTTAGTTTTAATTTACTTGTGTAGTTTGAATGATTGAAAAATTCTGAATTGAAATTAATAGTGTTACATTGATACTATGAAAAAAAAAATGAGTAAAAAATTATTGAGTGTATAAAAGTTGTATGGTGATGTGCAAATGCCCGAGATTTGAATATTATGAGATACGCGCTAATCCTGCCCCCTCTCTCCAAGAGGCAGAAACTTGGAGAACTACGAAAGCTGTCATCCAGAGGCTCTGCTGACCAGCAACAACCTAGTGTAGGAAAGAGCAAATCAGATTCCTGTAGAGTAATAAATCAGGAAGAGAAGTTTTGAAAGTGGATTGGACACACATTGTGGAAAGCACCCAACTACACTTCACGAGATAAGCCCTCGGTGGGAATCCTGAAAGCTAAAGAACACTATACGTCGAAGAAACGGAGACAGATATGAGAAGAATGATCACCGATTGGATAGAACTAGAAATGAAGGCCCAAGATAGAGTTGGTTGGAGAATGTTGATTGGCAACCTATGCTCTATTAGGCGTAACAGTCATAAGGAAGTACGTTTGTAAGTAAACCGATCCTCTATACTGGCTACTTAAGCCAGAAGGTATAAGTGGAATAGAAACTCGATTTGGTTATCGAATCGTTATACATAAATATTTTTATTTACACACATACATACATTTCTTCCCTTTAAAAAACAAATTCATTTTTTTGACCAATGATATGCATTCATCCTGTAGGATAATTTCCAATGGTCATCAAATGACTTTCTTGTTTGGTCAAACATGATTGGCTGTCTATAATATTGCTCTTTTTATTTGAACGTTCAGGTATTATCAGATGCTACTCCACAAGGAACAAGAAATAACCGTGACGAATTCGAATATTTGATTACTGAAGTGCAGTATGGTTAGAATTATACATATATTAGATTTTTTTGAAATCATGAATCTATCAATGTTAGACCACCATTAGAAGGAGGCACTTGACAGGCCGTTTTGTCCTGGTATCGGACTCATCAGCAGTGCGCATCCACGATTCCTGCTACTCGCAGGATTCGAACTCAGGACTTTCGGTCCTGCACGTGAAAGCCTAACCTCTGGATCACTGAGCCGGCATTTAACCGTGCTCATTTCTAGCTTCGATCGATTCATAGCCTTGTGCAACCTCATCCACTGTCTTCGGTGAGTACCGCTGATGAGTCCCAAGCCAGGACGAAACAGCCGTACAGTGTTTCCAGGTTTCTTTCTAATGATGGTATAACAATGATCAATCAATTCATGGATTTTGATTAAGTAATTCAATCATCTCCGCAACCCTTTATGCATATATATTAGAGTGAGAAGTTGTAGTGCCTCCACATATATTCCCGTTCGCTTACATTTACTTTGGTTAAGCCCTTTCGATTAATTTATTTAACCAAGTCATTTGTATTGCAACAATTTATATGTACCATTCGTTCTTATTATTGTCTGGTTTGTCTGAGCTCATGTGACTTGTCCCACCTGTCATTTGACCTTGTCAATCATTCGTCACTTTTATTCATGCGTGCGCATGCCTATGTCGTTGGTCACATGTCTGTCTTATATTTGTCTGACTATATATTCTTAGTCACTCTCTACCTCTTTGAGTTGGCTCGTTAGCCATTCTCCGCATCGCTTCCTTCGCCTATTCGTTCGCATTGTAATCCAAGGAGTTGGCTCAACAGCCTTCTCCAATTCATGTCGCTTCATTCATTTTATTCACTGCTTCTCCGCTTCACTTTGTGGTGTGTCTCAAATAAACGTATTCATCACTACGAGTTCACTTTCTGATATATAACCGTAAGACGCTACTTTGTAACGATATTCTGGACGGGCTAATGACCGAGGATTAAGAACACGCAATAAATCGACACGCCACAAATGGTGAGTCCGACGTGATATCAACACACTACAAAGTTACTCATTGAGAAAAAATCGAAAATATATATATATATATATATATATATATATATATATATAATTCAATACTTACCATAAATATTTACATCTTCTGATTTGTATGATGGTGTACTAACTTTTGAACTTCCAAGTGCTATAACCCATCTTTGTCGATCAGCTCGAGATAATGCACGTAAATAATATCTTTGTTCACCAAGAATTAAATCAAATCTACGCGGATCAGAACTATGCACTTATTGTATGAAAGATAAACTTAGAATTATTTCACATAATAAACACTCACCTATCACATCACATACAGATAATTTCACTGATCCTTTACAACCACTATTCATTTCTTCTTTAGAACGATAATATGATAGAACACCATCATTTAAAATAAAATAACGTTGTTGCCAACCACTAACATAATTTGTCCATTTTAATAAAATACCTTCCATTGTGTGTGTCAGTTAAATGTTCAACTGTGAAATTCATTGTAAAAAATTATGCAAGATTTTCAAGGTTTTTTTTAAAAGAAAGTAGTAGTAGTTGTTGTTGTTGTTGTAACAAATAATGTAAGAGATAAAACTACATACAGTAATGAATAAATATATCTAACATGATAATTAATATATGTTTGAATTTTAGAAAACAACAACCGAATATATCGGGGTTGTACAATTTAGTTAGATGATATTTTACAAGCGTATTGAGAGATTTCCTTAGTTTATGTATCTAAAAATAGTGTTTTCTTTTTGTGTGTGTGTGTGAAAAATATTGTAGTAGTAGACTGAAAGCAGACAAGTCAAATTGTGAACCAAATTACTGATTCTGAAATTGGGTATAAATGAAACACAACCTTTTTTATACAGTAAAAGGTTGTATAATTTGAAGAAGGCTTAAATATTCTGGCCGTAACTACTAGCATAGCGGCGGGGGGGGGGGTTAGGGTTTCGCGGTCGTGAAGACTCAACCGAGCTATATAGGCTACACACATGTTTTTTTAGGTCTTACCATGATAGATACGTGGATTGGAGAACAATAAGACTGACAGTAACAGTTCAAGGTCTGAGGGTGAAGTCGTGCTGCTGACTCTAGAGGGTTGTAACAACAGTGAGCTATGTCCTTCAGACAAACAGCATCTGCAGCGACGCTGTCTCCTCACAGCGGAAGGGAGAAAATAGAAAATGTCGACCCTAAAAATATAACACCTCAAATTTCCGTCTTCGGAGTAGGGCCCTTTGAAAAGCGGAGCTAACACTTTACAAACATTCCACAAAAAGGCCGTGCATGACCAGGCTTAAGCAGATGCTGTTGGGCACTGCGACTACGCCCCCAGGTCGCTAAGACCAGTCAGTCAGTCAGTTACAACGTAGAACTTGGTATGTAAGTACATCAGTTCAAGTTGCAATACCACATTAGCACAGAGATATAATTGTCAATTCAAATCCCATAGTAGTAGAGGAAGTAAAAGTATTAGAAGTAGTCGGAGGGATAAGGGTTCAAAGATGTTATTCAACAAGTATGATAGAGTGAGATCAATTTAGAAAGAGAACGACAGGGGTGATGATTAATTCAGAAGGTTACAATTTCATAGAACACAAAGAATAAATGCACCTGCGCCATTGCAAATGGTTTTGAGCCATATAACTTAGGGTCTCTAACCATCGATTATTATCATCTCGAGGACCGCAACCAGGTAGTCGACACCGACCAACATGACTCAGTCCACTTGTCAGTGATTTCATGTATTTGTGCCATGTTTTGGTCTGGCCGCCCCTAGCTTTCTTCCAACCTACTCCTACACTACAAAACAAAGCTTGTCGAGGCAGTCGAAGATTAGGCATACGTAACACATGTCCCAACCACCTCAACTGATGAAGTTTCAACACTTCATCAATAGACCTGCCATCCTTACCTATTACTCGTTTCCTAACAACAGCATTGCTAACTCGGCTGTCCCACGATAATCGAGCAATGATTCGGAGACACCTATGATCTAAAACCAGTAACCTATGAATATATTCTACTCTCACTGGCCATGTTTCACAGCCATATAGTAGAACGGAGCGAACTACTGCGCAGTACACCCGTCGTCAGAAAACGGATATCTCGCCTGCGCCATAAGTGACGCAGGTTGGCAAAAGCCAATTGAGTCTTTTGTATCCGTGCTGAGATCTCCTCAGTCACCAGGCCATCAGCACTGATGAGACCCCCAAGATAACTGAAGCGGTCAACACGCCTAACTGCCTCACTCCATATCACTAGTTCAGGTACCGATGAAACCCAAACTCAAAGCAATATTTTGCATTTCGAGGGGGAAAACCGCGTCCCGAACATGTATGCATTGTTGCTTAGGGTAGTCAGGAGACTCTGCATTTTGTTAGCGTCTTCATCGAATAGAACTATCTCATCGTCATATATCTAGATCAGTAAGCGATTTTCCTGGAAATAGGTCAACCGCTGAAAAATCTGACGAGCTTAATGTTAACTCTAAAAGCATATCAACGACAAAGTCAGCGAGCGAACTTTTGAAATGTCAGACGATACAACTGTTGTATCTAAAGCACGTCAATGACAAAATTAAAAAAGAATGGAGACAGTGGACAGCCCTGACAGACACCACTTGAAGTAAAGAATTTCGATGACAGTTCTCCATAAGCTCTCACCCGACCTGTAGTATTCGAGTAAAGAGCTTGTATAAGGTTAATGTAATTCTCTGGTACACCTTTCAATGACAGACACTGCCGCAGAACCTCACGATCCACTGAGTCGAAAGCCACCTTAAGGTCCAGGAACACAACGATTGTCGGACGCCGGAATGTGTGTCTGTGTTCCAGGACCTGTCGTAGTGTAAAAATGTGGTCTATACATCCACGTCCAGGTCGAAAACCAGCTTGGTTTTCTAGAGTCTGCTCTTCACGAGCACTAGTAAGGCGTTTAAGTATAATGGAGCTAACAATTAAGAAATTATATTAGTTAGACTGATTCCGCTGTGATTGTCATAAGAAGACTTTTGTCCGTTCTTGTAAATTGGGACAATCAGGGATTGAGACCGGTCGGATGGGATTACGTCCAGTTCCCAGATTCTACCTAAGATCTCGGTCAATCTAGCTGCTAAAGCTGGACCACTATCCTTAAAAATCTCAGGAGTCAATCTATCGGGTCCTTCTGCTCTCACTCTCTTCAGATTTCCTATAGCTTTTGCAACTTCATAACGGTTCGGAGAACTTATGTCGGTTTCCCATTCAGGTTGACTGGAGATCGTAGGTAACCGAAGTGTGGCTGAAGGCCAGTTGAACTGATTCCTAAGGTATTCTGCCCATCAGTCCGATCTCCTGGATTTAGAATGGATAATAAGACCATCATTTTCCGAAATAGTCTCACTCATATTCGGGTTCCTAATACCAGTTTCCCTGATGAGTCTGAATAGTTGCCTACTGTTGCCTATTGCCGTTGCCTTTTCTATCTCCCTTGCTTTCGCTAACCACCACTGTGTCTATCGTTGCGAAGGCTTTTTATCAGCCTGCGCTTAAGCTGACTCCACTCCTCATCGTAATCTGAGCCAGGAGGGATGAACTTTCGAGCATCCATCAGTTCGGTAGATGCTGCTGAGATCCACGGCTTCTTTCTGGCCTTATGGTTTACCTTACTAGCAGATATCACTGCTGTTTCCACAGCCTTTTTGACATCATTTCAAGCTGCCTCAGAGTGGGTATCACTTACTACATGGCCGCCTAACTGTTTTTCTAGTTGTTCCTGAAATATATTATTAGCTTTATTATCATTAAGTAGAACCCTAAGAAGTTTATTTGCGATATTTTTCCTACGTCCAGTAAGCCTCAAACAAATGCGCGCTCGCACTAGAGCATGATATGAGTCTAAACAAGTGCTCCAGAATGAGAAGCAGTCTTCAATAGAGTCTCTCCACTGATGGCTGATAGCGATGTGATCTAGTTGAGTCGGCTTTGGGGGTCGCTAGGTCAAAAGGTGTTTCACCTTATGTTGGAAAAAGGCGGTCATCTGAGCATAGTTGCAGCAGACGGTCGCCCTTAACTGATCTATTAGCCGCGACACCATAAGATCTATCCAGGCGTCTTTCCTTTTCGCTAAGTCTAACTACTTGAGCGTTAAAGTCACCAGCTTAACATATTGGAGAAGTTTGGAGAGGTTTCTATAAAACGTATATTTCATGTCGTCTGAACTGCAGTCAGTGGGAGCGCAGGTAGATACGACGAAGAGTGTCCTTATCCTTCCGAGTCCGTACCGTCCCGTTTAGTCGGACAGCGCATAAGCGACTGTTTATCAGAATCCAGTCTACGAGAGCTAGTTCTGCCCTAGGACTTAATACCATACCTACGCCGGTGAGGCCACGAGAAGCGGCATCAGGCTTTCAGAAACACTAGGTGAGATCAAATTGATTATTTTACTCGGATCTCGTATGCGCGTTTCGGAAACGCAACATACATAGATCACTCGGGATTCCAGAGTTCTACCTAATGAAGCCTGTTGCCCTATTTGTCATAGGGTCCGAACATTGAAAGCTCCTATATGTAATTTAGTACGGGGTTTCAGGAGACCAGGAATGTTTCGTGAGCTCACACTGTTTGTTTCAGTGGTGTGAGGTAATAAATGATCGAAAGAAGGGTTGGTCGAGGAGATAAGAGAGTTACTAAGAGGTGTAGAAGGGATTTGACTGTGACCAATTTGGTCTCGAATGCTTTTATGGGTATGAGGGCGGATGTCACTTTCCGGCTGCCCACACCGTGGAAGGGAAAAACCAACACCAACCCAACTTCCTTTTCAAGAATTACTCCTCAACGGTGTGGACAACGGGGAGGTGACAACCACCATTGTGCCTCTAACAGCAATCGAGATCACCTCGTTCAAACCTAGTCTTACCCTCATCTTTTAATAACTCTATTATCACCACGACTAACCCTTTTCGTGCATATGTAGTCTAAGGATGGTTATTAACTTAACCTCACTTTATCAAAATTAATAACCCCTGAGATCCACCCTTCATGTATCTGGAGACCTCACTGCTACTACGCAGATTCCAATAAACAGTTGATTACGCACTGTCTGACTAAACCAGACAGTGTAGATACATACACCATCGCCGATGCCTACATTCCCACTAACTGCAGCCTAGATGAAGAAAAAGATTAATTTTATGGGGAGCTTTTCTACCTCCTTCAAAATGTAATAGTAGTGAATGATTTTACTGCCCGAATAGGTAGACTAAACCGAGCCGAAAGGCATCTAGGTGGATATTACAGTGTCGCCACTCATTGAGCAGAAAACTGCAAAAATTTGCTATAACTACGTTCAGATAACCGTACACGTCAAGCAAGAACCAACTTTTGGCATAAAAAATGTTATCCTGTGTAACGAATAGTGTAGTTAACTTGACGATGGACTAAAATAGATTATATTACCATTAGCCGTCGTTGGA